AGGTCAGACACATTGACGGTGACAAGCTCAACAACCGTAAGGAGAACCTCGAGTGGTTCTAAGAGTAAAAAAATTTTATTTTAGGGGGAAACCCCAAGTAAATTTAGGTGTTTATTTGGATAAGTATGTGAAATTAAGGTCAATTTGCAAAATTAGTTCCCGACCTTTGAATTGGACTCTTTCGTTCTCCCAGTTGCGTAGGAGGTCGTCCCAGAGGAGTTGGTAGAATTGCCAATCCAAGGACGATTTGTCCTCCCAGGCATTGAGGATGTACTGCTCGTAGAGTCTCATGACCTCTGCCTTGCACCAGACACCCTCTCCCTTGGAACGTAAGGCTTCTTCGAAGTGCTCGAATGCGATTGGCTGCGTGACCATCCGAAATGACACTTTTTGTCCGTTTGGTCAATGTTCGTGTCTCGTGCCATAGTCGACGAAAATACAGACAAACAGGTTATATATGAGTTTGAGACCAAGAATGGTGTAACTCGACCTGTCCGATTCAAAGACTCCGAGGGCGACCATGAAATTAAACGGAAATTACCTAGGAAGGAATATAAAATGGACTGGTTGCCACCACCTCCACCTCCACCACCTTTACCTGTTCCTCAAGTAAATAAGCCTTTCCCGTTCCCAAGAATTCCCACATTTTAATTCAAATTCGAATAAAAATTTTTTATTTCATGCAATGTTTTATTTCTGTGCCGTCTTCAAGTATGCCCAATACTTACGCTTGGAGAGGACATGAACTTCGGTGAAAATTTTGTCCAATTTGAATTGACCCATCTTTTCACCGACCATTCCCATTTCAATGAGTTTGTTATAGCCTTCTTCGTTCGTCATGAGTGCGTCAATGTTCTCATAGTAAACCTTCACTTTGGATTTGACTTCGAGAAGAATTTGTTGTAGTTGTCAAGGACTGCTTTGCGAACTGAGGGTAAGACCAATGTTCGACAATAGGTTTTAATGTGGTTACTAAGCCATTTTGACCTTGAGTGAATTCGTACTTCAAAACAAAAGGAGAAAACCTTTCAACAAAGTTGTCGACCTTCTCATAATGTTTACTCTTCATCTCTTGAGGTTTCTTAATGGAATATCCCCATGTCGAATTCATAAGCAATTTGAGTGTCATTGCAAGTTTGGGGTTTGAAGCTTTCCTAATATCATACAGTTGTTGTATGACTTTTCCAACTGTATAGTTCCTTCCCGGGAACTCACCATCTTCGTTTGGAATTCCAGTCGGAATATATTGGACAAACCTCATGTATGCAGCGTTAAGGTCAACATAGTATATTTTCATCTGAGTCGAACTTGTCGCAACCAATTGGTCCAGTTTGTGGAAATTCAAGTGAGTCTCTTATCTTCTGAGAAACTTCTCCTGTTATCTCATAAACATCGTCGAAGCAACCTGTTTCATATAAAACCTTCTGACCTAACTCAGATGCTCTCCATACAATTTGACGTCAATTGGATGTCTCAATGGAAGTTTGTTTATAGCATCTTGAAGTTCTTGCAACCTCATTGGAAGTTCTTCTGGTTCAGGTTGGTATCCGAACAATCCAACTCCTTGTGGAATTGTGTACTTCTTTTGTACTAGAACTTTGTCTGGAACAACTTTTGGTCTTGCTAACAGTGAAAAGTTTGTTTCGTCTTTTGGTACAAAAGTTTCTGTCAGCTTGTCATCTGGAATTGGTTCCAACAAACCTTTCTCGAAAAGAATGTTTACAGCTCTGACAATGTTGCACTTGCCTTTTCCGAACAATGGGTTTGTAAGACTTTCGTTCAACATGAAGTGGTTGTGGACAATTACAATCTTCAACCATGGTAAATTGAACTCAACAACATAGTCGTCATGTGAAGAACCTTTAGCTGTAGGTATGTTGACTCGGATATTGACATTTGCCAACGGTGCAATTTTTGCCAATTGACCTCTGAGCATGTACCTTGTCTTCACACATGACTCAAGATACTTCATCTTCTCTTCTGTACAAGACCAGAGTTCCTGAGACATGTAAGAATACAAGGTTCATTGACAATTGTTTCAATTGAATTGTAAATTCCATACCTTGTCAAGTCAATGTCAGACTTATTTATGAAGGGGAAGTATCCAGCATGTTGTCTGACTGCTTGAGGGTTAGGTTGGTACCATTCGAACTTGACACTTGCAATTCCTTCAATTGCATTCAAAATGTCTGAGTCGGAGTCAACCATTTGTTCTCTCTTTGTAGTCTTGAAAGCGTCAAGAAGTTTTGCGGCTGTTTGTTCATTGCCATGTGCATAGTAAATGTGACCATCCAAATCTGTTATGGTCAATTTGAGATTGTGTCCTTTCTTATTTCCGTCTTGAATTGCAGCAAGTACTCCCATGAAGCCTTCTTTGTTCTTTCCTTCGTCAAAGTTTACTGTAAAGGTTCGACCAGATGTAATTTGACTTCTAACTTCACGATACTTTTCATATGCATATCTTGTTCTTTCCATGGGAGCATGTGCGTCTTCACCTTTTCCTTTTTTCCTTCTCAAAGGATGCAATTGTTCGTCATGTTTCCAGTAGAATCTGGCAAAGCCGTCGTGTCCTTCAACTTGAGGTTCACTAACATCGAAAGGCATGTCCATAAGACGTTCTTCTTCTAACCTCTCTAGTCTGTTTGGATAATTGGCACGTGCTGTTTCCAAATCCATTTCGTAGCGAAGCCAGACAATTTGTCATAGACTTTTATGAGTCTTCCCTTCCTATATTTAAATTCTTCGAAACTCTCCAACCATATCTTTGCAACTCTGCTTTTTATTCTAGCAGACTTTCTATCCATTCTATATGGGGGCATTTTTATAAAAATAAAAAAATTTTTTTCTTTACTTTACATAACCGCCTGCTGCCATAAGTCTTTTGACGCCAACCCATACCAGCTAATGAAGGTTGACTTGGTTTAGTTTGGAAACTAAACTTTGGTTTTGGTTTTCTTCAGTTTTTGGTTTTTCTTCTTCTATCGGTTTTTCGTCACTTTTCGGTTCCTCTGACTTTACTTCACTTGCAGGAACAGTTGTGTCGTCAACATCTTCATAAATATCATATGCCATTTGTTTTTGTTTTCCTTTCAACTTTTTGTGTTTGTTGTAAAGTTTAGAATATTTCGACTCTAAGTCAATGAGATGTTCTATAATGAACTGTTGGTCAGTGAAGTAAACTTTTCCATCTGTTGTCTCGAAAGCTCCTTCAGACTTCAATATTTTATTTGTGAGAGTCTGTTTCTTTTTTGAGATACTAGCCGTTCCATTTCTATGAAAAGTGACTTTATAGTTAGGGTTTGTATTTCCAGACCTGGCACTTTCTATTATTGAATTTTTCTCTTCATCTGTAAGTTCTTTGACAGGTTTTGACAATGGTTCTGAACTTTTTGTTTGTGGTGTCAAATCTACCGTTTCAACTTCTTCGGTCATTTCATCTCAGTAAAAAATTTTAGTTTGGTTTGTTTTCAACTGGTTGTTGTTGTTTTTTAAGTCTGTCTAAAACTTCCTGAGGTATAGGAAGAACTTGACAAACACGTGGTGTAACTGCTGGAAGTCGACAAATCCATCTTGAACCCATTTTGTCTCAATGCTGTATTGTTCATTTCATCTCAGTAAAAAACTTTACATTCCCCACGTTTGAGGCGGTTGAGGTTGGTTATTGTTTACCCACTGTTGTGCATGGTTTATCATCCTGTTAAAGAATCTTTCACCTTGGTCCATATAGTGTCCTGCTTGGTTATAGTAGTCATTTGCTTTGTTATAATAGTTTCCTGCTTGTCTTCCTACATTGTCCATCCATCCTTGAACTTTTCCTCTTGTTTCAGGATTTGGAATAAGATTTGTTGCATCTCGTGCTACATCCCAACCTTTCTGTACAGTTTGTAATAATAGGTTGTGCTTTCTCTTTAAGTATACCTAATGTACTCAAAATCTTCCTTCCAATTCCAAATGCACCTCTGGCTATTGTTCCCACTGCGGGTAAAAATCTGGATGCAACTCCTGCTAATGCGCCAAATAAACCCATTTCTTATAGGGTAAAAATGACGAATCCAAACAAGGACCCCTATGTTTCTAAAGCGACAAAGAAAGCACTCATGATAAAAATCTTTAGTTCAACACCAAATGCTTGGTTTATGGATATCTTGGAAAACATTCCGAGAGTTAGAACAGATGGACCTCCATACTGGTTAATATTTGTTGGTCAAAACACAAGATACTGTGAAGCCATACCATTATGGTCCAAAAATATTTTAGATGTGAAAACTGCTTTGACAATATTCGTTGACAAATACCATCCAACAAAACTGACATCTGACTGTGAAAGTTCTTTCAAATCAGATGATATTAAAAACTATCTGCGTTCAAAAAATGTAAACCAATATTTCATTGTCGACCAAAACCATTCTGCTCTTGGTGTCATTGACGTTGTATAAAAAATATTAAGAGACTTAAACCAACCACAAGGTGGTGAAGCAAATGAAATGTCATATGACGACAAGTATAGACACTTCTCCATGGCAAAGATGAGACAAGTTTTAAATATTTACAATAACCGTAAACAAAAAGGTTTGGGAAACCACTCCCCCGAAGAAATGAAAAACAACCCTGACTTAGAGAAAGACTATATATTTAATAATTTAGTCAAAAGAGACAAACAAGAAAGAATGCCGGGCTTCAAAACTTCGGAAGGGTGACAAAGTAAAAATAGAAATACCTAAAACGCGACCCATATGAAAATACTATTGACTATGACAACAATGGGAACTCGACAGGTACTCACATTCGTGTTCGTAAAATAGAAGAAAGTATACAAGAGAATATTATGAAGTTTTAGGCAAACATGGCAAAATGTACACACTGCAAGCAGAAGATAAAACTACTATTGTCAGACCTCGTTTCAAACTTGTCAAAGTTCAAGGTGGTATACTTTCAAAGACAGTTCCTAACAAATATAAGACAACTCCTGACGAATATGCTAAAGAAGTTGAAAATGACGACTAAGCATTTCTATACCATGCGTAAACTGTCATGTAAGGTGGCATGTAGTCTTTACTTTGTCCCGTTGTTTGTGTATATCCTGTAACGCGATGTGTATGGTTTCCTCCTCCCTCAGTGTTACTCCAGTAACAATCTATAGCAAACTGAACGTTGTCTTTAACATCATATCCTTTACCTTTTATCATTGCGTGCCAATCACAATATCTATGCTTATGCCAACCTGCTTGAGATGTACTTAAATCTATGTAGTGACTGTGTGCAGGTAAATTTTCACCTGAAATCGTTTTACTTCCACCTGTTTCCTTTGAAGAGTTTGCACAATACAAAAACCTGTCGACTATTTGAGTCCAAGTTCCAAAACCAAGTACTACTTCTGGTCTGGTAGAGTTCATTGACGTATAAATAGAGCCTATAGGATATAATGTTTGAAGTATTTCAGTCTTTAATGTTTGAAGCTCTGTTTTGTCTGCTTTCTTGTCATATAAATCTTGAGCAGTGAATTTAATATTATGTTCATCCTTCATGACATAAACATCTTTACATCTAATGTTTCCCATCGTCGTTATGTCGTCATCCGATGTTAAACCTTGTGGAAAGTTAGGAGGTTTCCAATATAATACATCCCCACCAGTTTCTTCAACCGTTCCTTCAATACTTTCTATACCAACAGTTGTGAAGGACTTATGTGTATGGTTCTTGTCTGCTTTCTTTTCAAGGCTAACGTTTAAGTCTGTTATTTCAGAAGATGTATGTGTATGTCCAACGTCACTTTTCCTGTTTAAGGTTTCTTGTAAGTTTGTAATATTTGCAATGGTATGTGTATGTCCAACGGCACTTTTACTGTTTAAGGTTTCTTGTAAGTCTGTTATTTCAGATATAGAATGTGTATGAGTCTTTTTAGAATATTCGTTTTCAGCTCTTGTCACTTCACTTGACATTTTATTGTCAACATATGTTTTGTCTGCTAGTTCAGGATGAGTATGTTCTTTTGTTGCATAAGCATTGTTAGCTCTTTCTTCTTCTTTTGCTATTGCATCGTTTACATATTCTTTGTCAGCTTTGTTGTCAACATCTGCTTTCAAAAGAAGTTCATTTATAGGTTTCTCGTTTAAAGTTCCTTTTGTTGGATTTATACAGACAGTATTGTTCTTCTTGTCTTGAAATAGAAACTCATCTGTCATTGGGTTTAATGTCAGTTTTAAGTTTCCTTCTTTCAATGACTCAGATATCTTAGAATAGTTTGAAAAGTTTGTTGTGTTCTTATTTAGAGCTTGCATAATGAGTTGTCGGTTGTGTTGTATTTCTCTCATGGAAGCAATATCTTTCGACATTTTTATTCTAGATAAAATATGCTTCCAATAGAAAAAGAAAATTCTAGAGTTGCTACAACTAAACCATTAGATGAACTTTTTACTAATGTCGGTCAAAAGTTTGAGACAGAGACCGTAAAGCATGAAGGCTATCGTTTTGACTACCCATTAAGATGGCTAAGAGACCCATCTGTCACAAAAGCTATTGGCTTTCGTAGAATAAAATTTGTGTCTGTAGAAGATAAAAGTTTTCCATTTATTGTAAGGTTTCATATAGATTATAATCTGAAGGGAAACGAAAAATGTGGGAAGAAATTGAGCTAATACAAGTTGACCTTTCATCTTCTCTACAGACTGCGTTAAAAAATATAGAAGATAAATAAATTCATGTTATGCAAAATATGCTGATGAATATGCAAATACCGAGAGCACACTTTATGTGAGAATTGTATATGACAAACAAAATTCACAAGTGTCATTTCAAATCTACGAAAACAATCCAAATAAAGACGAACAAATATATACAGAATTCACTGCAATGTCATGGTATTATTTGCAAAGAATGTTAAATCAGAAAGTCAAACTTCCTTTAGCAAATATTTACAGTCGATATGCAAGAGATGAACCATATTTATTTAAAGATGTTTTCGACCAAGATGCTATTATTGTTCATGCTTCATTTTCTGGCGCCCAAAACTCTTTCTTATGCTTGGCAAATGACTTTTACGAAAAACCTACAAAGTTATATGAACCACCAAGTGGAAGTATTTCAGACTTTCAAGTATGGTTTACTACAGATGGAAGAAAAAGAATAATTCCATTATACCATGCGTTTTACTTAGAACTTAGTTTCATATACAACTACTATCGAACGGTAAAAATATAATTTTTTAATACGGTTGAGGTGTTGGATTTGGTTGCCAACTAGACTGTGGTGCAGGTTCAGGCTGTTGTATAACAGGAGCTTGTTCTTCTGGTTCAGGGTCTTTAGGTATAATACCAACGAACTGACCTACTCTTTTACCAATATTTTTGACTCCGTTCCAAATTCCTCTTCCTACGGTTTTTATTCCATTCCATATACCTCTTCCAACATTTCGAAAGAAGTTTCCAATACTACTGAAGAAACCCATTTTACTATATGTAAAAATCTAATGTCCGCCTAGTCTCTTACGTTTCCTTCTGAGTTCCATTGCATTCTTTAACTGGAGCTCATACATTCTATTTCTCCTCTGGTAGAAAACATACTCTGGGTCAACTCCTGTGTTCGCGTCATCTGCATAGAGTTGTTTATATCCCACTTCAGGGTTTGTATAAAACTCTTTCCATCTCATATTTGCATACCATGGTGGCAAACCTAACGCAGCGTCATTTGACATGGCAGTTTGCATTTGTACATCTGTTGGCACTTGACCATAGTTTGCCATTGCAGTTTGTATTCTAACTTCATTTGGAATATTCTCTGGGTTTGGTTGTCCAGGTTGCTGTGCATTCGCTAAGTTCTGTGCGTCCATTTAATATTAGATAAAAATATCTCTTACGAGTACATATACTGAACATTTGCAGGCATTGGTTCATCTTCATATTCTCTATATCTTTCTGCCACGTCAAATAAATAAATGACACAATGGAAAAAACCTAAAACAAGTAGTCCTATTTCAAACCACATTTACTTACTAATAAAATTTCTTTGTTATGACACTTTCTCCAGTTTATAGGACCTCCCTCATATTCTATCTTGTCATATATAAACTCATAGTCATGTATGTCCTCTAACCATCTCATAACGGTTTCCAAACCACTTTTATCGGATGTAAAGTAAAAGCATGGACAGTTATGTAAAACGTCTAAAGTTTCTAAAGAGTCTCTCAAAGTCCAGTCTACTTGGTATTGAAAATCCCATGTGTTATAGAACGGCGGGTCCACTATAAAGAAAACATTTTCCTTGTCTTTATATTTTTCATACAAATCTGTCCAATGACATCTCACAAACTCTATACCCTCAATATATTTTTCTATGTCCTCTTTGAAAACATTTGTATAGTTAAGATATAAAACTTTTGACATAAGTGTTTCAATGTCATGAACTCTTATAGCACCACTATATAATAGTCTAGCAGATATACTATCCCAGTCTATATATTCTGCTTTTTTCAAAACCTCTCTCACAATATTTTTCTTATCTAATGGTATACGTTCCATCTTACCTATAGGTATCTTTTCTTTTAACTCTTTCAATATATTGTTTGTGTCTGGAATATGTTTGAGACGGTCCATATAGTTGTCGAAGTCATTGCATATAATATTTGAGTCTGGAAATATTATATGGCACAAATGGGATATATAGAAACTTCCACCGAACAAATCTACAAATGTTAGACCATTCGGTAGTTTCTTAAGTTCTCTCAATATAATATCTTTACATCTACTCTTATTTCCAAAGAATGGTAACGGTGGTTTTGTAAAATTCATTTATATATAATAATAAAAATGTTTTTACCCGAAAAGTGACAGAAAAGTGACAAAACGTGAAAACATATATAATTTGTGAAAAGCGACACATTATATAATGTTTTCGACCCAGAAGAAGGCTTCTTCTCAGAAGCAATAGAGGAAGAAGAAGAGTCCTCCGAATTCACACCAGAAGACTAACAATTTTCCGAATAAAAACTTCATTTATACTAAACATCTTCAGGGCTAGAAGGCACGAAGTGCCTGGAAGCCCCGCTACCTTTTTTTTTTTTTTTTTTTTTCATCAGATAGACATCATAAAATAACATCTATCTACCGTGTTTTGTTTTGCTGAAAATCTCCAAAAAAAATCTTGATTTTTCAAATTTGATAAGAAAAACAACAATTTTGATGACAAAAATTCGAAAAACCCCTTTTTTTGGAAAATATAAGAGAAAGATTTCCATTTATCTTGAGATATACTGCATGTTTTCGCGTTCTGAACGCAGAAAACGAATTTTTTGGATGCAGAGATTCTTAATCACGTGGAAAAAGAGAGAGGGTCAAAGTTGTTATTTGTCACTTTTCCACAAGAATATAATGGGGAAAAAGTTATCATATAGTTGATCTCATTCACTGAGGTGAGAGATGCATGTAGTGTAATATGTAATGGGATAAACAGTGGGATTGCTGCTCTAAGTCCTAGGTTCGAGACACATTGGCTTCATTTTTCTCTTTTTTATTGACGTAAACTATTCAATTTTTGTGTTCTCCATTCAAATTTCAGAATTTTTTTTGCAGATTTCACGCTACATTCGAAGTTACCTTTTGTAACAACCACCACCGCCTACGAAAGACGAAAGTGTGTCACGATTTCACCCGGAAATCCGACGGTTGTTTAAGAGTATGCACTTTTGTCACCTACTCCGTGGAAAAATTAGGCTTTAATAAGAAAATAGGCGATTTACTTAGTAACAAAGTATATAGAAGCATAAAAATGAGAAGCTATTTCTTCATACGAAAGTAAAAAATAACGTATATTTATAGTGCGCATACCTATGCTGAGACTATGCGCTCTCTAATATTTTACTCGCTCTCTGGCCGGTAAATACCCAGAGAGTTACACCACAATTAACTCATGCTGAAGTTTTCCGGATTTCCTTCCTCAATTGAGAGAAATCCGGAGAACTTCAGCAAAAACGAATTACAAACTAGTTCTCTCGCTCTCCCTGGACCCAAGAATATACACGCATTACACTAGAACAAAGTTCTTCCGAAGTCTCTCATTCAATGAGAGGCCTCGGAAGAACTTTTGCTCTTTTCGAGTAAATTTACATTTTTCGTTCAATAGAAAGTCAGAAACTACAAGCGCATTACCTTGGAGTAGAATTCCTCCGAAGCCTTTCATTGAATGGGAGACTTCGGAAGGACTCTACTCAAATTGTAGTTTCTTTAGCCTTTTGTAGACCAGGGAGCCGTAGTGAGATGCTTTAGGGCCAAGCTCTTCCGAAGTCTCTCATGCAATGAGAGGCCTCGGAAGAACTTGGCCCTATTCTAGTAATTACGAAGTATCTGACTTTTTAGGAGCGAGAGAGTGGTAGTATAAGTGAATGCGTGCAATAACGTATAACTAATATCGCTAGAAGCATAATAATTATGCGGCCTAGCTACTATACCCTAGCAACTAGGCAGTTAGTATCCATAATTTCGGTACCAAGGGTCTACGCCCCTCGGAACCAAAATTACTAGAATTTACAAAAACCGTTTGACACGTAAAATACATTTGACATTTACAAAAAATAAAAAAATATTTTTTAAAAAATAAACTTAAAAATTAACGTTAAAATTTTTGACACTTTACAAAATAAAAAAATAATTTTAAAAAAAATAAATTTAAAAATTAACGTTAAAATTTTTGACACTTTACAAAATAAAAAAAATAATTTTTTAAAAATAAACTTTAAAAATTAACGTTAAAATTTTTTTATTTATTTTTTTTATCATAGATTTTAACACCCAGAGTAAAAAAATAATTTTTTTAAAATAAATTAACTCAAAATTTTTTTAATTTCTGTATATACTAAATTTTTCATAAATGATAAAATTAATTTTAGGGTATATCTAACCCGATATCTAACCTCATTTCTAACCTTGTGAATTTTCAACAGTAAATATGCTGGCATGATTCAGGAATGTCATCGCTGCTGTCTTCAAACTCTTTTATAGATTCATACCATAAACGAGCTTCACGGGAGATGAGAAGTAATGAAACAATAATTAATAATTTATTAGTAAAATTCATTTTATATAAAAATAAAATTTATTATTTCATGAGGACTCTTTGAGTCCATCTCGCCGCTAAGCGGCTTAATCTGATTTTTCGAATTCTTCTAACTTCTTCTTCAGTTCTGCTATATTATCTTCATATAATTTAATCTTTCTCAAAATACCATTTTTATCTAATGGCTGCTTAATTTTTCTAAATTGAACTCTACCATCTTTCATTTGATGAACATAAAAACCTTCTGGAATAGTTCCTGATTTAATGTATTCAACTAAAAACTTTTGTTTTGTTGCTTCAGTAATTTTAGTACTCATTTTATTAAAAGTAAAAAATAAAAAATATTTTTAAAATTAACTTTATTTTTTATCGTCGTCTTTTCCTTAATTCCTGCGGATCAACTAGGTCGGTTGAAGGTCTATTACTTTCTTTATAGTGTTTATAAAGTTTATAAGCCGCCATATGATAAGGATAATTAAACCATAAATACGCTTTACCTAAAGTTTTCAATCGATTATATAAATCATTATTGTTAGGCGTTTCAGGTGGTGCAGGGTATTCGAGAACATCTCTAACCATTTAATTACTTTAAAACTCTTGGTTTCTTTTTAGTTTTTAACAGTTTCTTTGCTTTTGCGATTTTAGCTAAAATATATCTTCGACCGTAATGGAACCAATTCGAACCTCCTGTTTTAGGGTCAAAAGGTCTTCCATAACCGCCAGGGTCATATGGTGCGACTGCAGTTACTGGCGCAGGTGCTGAATTAATCGGCGGTGCCTCAATTGGTGGATATTCTGGCTGTTTCTCCTTTTCTTTAAGTGAATTTAATTTAAACTCTTCGCCATTCAACTGACCTTTAAAATCTTTTAGCTGCTTAGATATTTCATTATCTTCACCTAAAAGGTTTTGCGACTGGTCAGCGACCCAGTTACCTAATTTCTTTAACTTTTCAGATTTTAATTTTCTGGCAGCAGCTCCCACAAGCATTCCAGCATTATTTTTTAAAGCTTTTGATACAGCTCCACCAGTTAAACCGTCAATAGCTTTATAACCTCCATACAAAGCTGATAGTGTTGAAAATACCATTTAATGCTTATTAAAATCATTTCTCATAATGATTAACTCATAAAATTTTTCATCGGAGCTAAACGTTAATGAAACTCTGACTTTTTCACCACTGAACCTCTTTATTAGTTCATTAATTCTATCAATTATATTAGCACACTCACTTACATCATCAATGATAGTAATATCATCACAAATTATTTTTACATTTAACGACGTCATTTATTACAAATTAATTTCTTCTATTCTTTAAATAATTAATAAAAGACCTAATACGTGTGAGTGGTTCGCGGTTCCTTTCCTGTGTCGGGCTTGTTTGAATCGGTGTAGATTTTTTCAGACCTGTTGGAATAAGATCAGCCCCGGCAGTTGAATTAATCGGTGTTCTATATAAATTTCTATATAAATATGGTCCCGCTACAGCACCAGCAGCTAATAAAAGACCTACAGGAATTACAATTCTATTATAATTCCGCGGTTTAGGATCTTCATCAAAACTAGCCCATGCGCTTTCAGTCGTTGAACTCATTTATATATAATTAAATTTTAATAAGCGATTAATATGAGTTCGATAATAATACTATCTTTTCTGTCATCAGGAAGGACAATATCTTTTAGGCTCGATGGTTCAACTAATTTTATATTAAATTTATTAACATAATTAGTTATTGAATAATGCTTCGGCGGAGAATATAAACAGTTTGATAAACATAAAATAGAATCTTCAGCGAATTCACTTATACTTGATTTAATGATTGCCGCTTCTCTGGACCAAACACCATTAAATGAAATTGATGTTAATAAATAATCATCATTTTTAATGGAAATTGATTTTGGTAAGTACTCCAGGAGGTCATTTAATGTTATCTGTTCTGCTCCGAACTGAGCAAATCGATAAAAGCATTCATCATTATTAATTCCTGTAATCTCTTGAAAATTTTTATTCGTGTATATATTTTCAATCTCATCACCGACAGCACCATCTTTTAAATCAAATATGAAACCAGCTTTTGAATTTGAATTAACACGAAATTCTATTGAATTAGTTTCAAAACTATAAAACATATCAACTTCATTAGGTTGAGGATATCCGGCACCTTTTAACTGTTCAATAAGAACCGATTTAATCTTTTTATTAAATGCTGTCATATCATCTCCTGTGTCTAAATCTATATAAATCTGTAAATCATATTGATGATTATCTCTTATTATTCCAAAGTTATATAATTCAATGGTTCGTCCTGCAGGAATGGTTTTTATCTGTCTTATTTCAATTGCTTTTTCGCCAGTGTTATAATCAACCCAGTGTTTAGGGTATTCATAAATGTATTCACCATTGATTATTTTAAACGGTTGTGAAAATATGTGCTCATAATAGATTTTAATACTTTTATCATTAAGACTGGGAACGGTATTAACAAAATTTCTGACTTGCATTTTTAATTATAATAAAATGAAACATTTATTTGAAGAAGTAGATGAAAAAATGAATGAAAAATCTGATAAACTCAATAGTTCATTAATTCTTCCCTTCAGTAAGGATTATCAGTTCTGTTCAAACGGTGTGTATTTCTATTGCGGAAAAATGGGTTCGGGAAAGACTTTTAATTTAATTCGTCATATTTTAATTACTGAACGTTTAGGCTCTGATTCATATTATGACCAAATCATTATATCAGCAACTTCAGACTCAATGGATTCAACAGCGAAGACGTTTATGGGTAAAGTTCAGGCATCAGTAATTAAAGTTCCAGATAGCGAATTAATTTCTTTTCTTCAACAATATATAAGAAGAAAGAAGAAATATTATGCAATAGTTGAATTTATACAATCAGGAATGCAAAAGACATCGGAAGAAATGGAAAGAATTATTGATAAACATCATTTGAGACAGCAGGATGGTACGTATGATATGAAACGATTGACAAACTACATTCTCTCGAAACTTTCAAAATATCCTTTTAAAAAATATCCTTCAAACACTTTATTAGTGTGTGATGATTTCGCTGGTAAAGGTTTAGTTTCAAAACCAGATTCACCATTAGCTAATTTAATAACGAAAGTCAGACATTACCACATGACTGTAGCAATACTTATGCAAACGTGGAGGTTTTTAGCATTAAACATAAAACGTTTAATTACTGATTTCGTTATATTTCAAGGTTTCTCAAAATACGATATAGAATTAATTTGGAAGCAATCAGGTATAACATTACCTTTTGATGAAATCTGGGATGCTTATAAATCACTCATTTCACCACGTTCATATTTAGAAATTCATATAATGACTAATACAATTAATGTTAAAAATATACCTTGGGAAAGACCAACATTATTTTAAAGCTTTATTTTTAGATGAGGTGTTGTGAATAGATTCCATCCATCTCTATCACCGTTTCTGTTTATATTTTTAGTGTCATTCATGTCCACACTTTCTGGATTAGTTAGTTTTTGAGGATAAAGATTAGAATAACTGTTTTTAATTGATGGTGCTTCACCTTTTAACGCATAAACTCTATTACTTTCTGCATATTTAATGTTTGAACCACCAGAACCATCATTAACGTAAATAGTAAATGGTTTATAATCGATATTCATATTTCGACTTCTGACTTTTGCCTTCTTATTTATTACTTCAACATCTTTATAAACTGCGCCCGTTTCAGTGAATTCAACAAGATTTTCATTTTCAAGTTTCACGTTTAAACCTTTATCAAAGATATTATTCATTTTTATAGTAATAAAAGGTTTTTATTCTCTAGAAAATGAGAAGTAAATCCATCTTAGCCGGTGCAGTGAATGTTCCTATTGAACCGACGTCGAATGTTGATTCAAGAACGACAAATAATATTATAATCAAAAATTACAGCTCCGAAAACTTGAAAGATAAAGAGCCGGAGCTAAAATCCGTTAATTTAAACACAACTTCAAACACAAACGCTAACAGTGAAGTTAAGTTAGAATATCCACCTCCATTAGAACCAATCATATCGCGTGATGCTCAAGATAATCCTTATTCAACTATTCAAACAAATACTTCAGATAACGTAGACCATTACCTCCTTAATTTATACCAAACAATATTACTCAAAGACGATAAGAAGCTTTTGACAAATCTTATTAGTAAGAATCAAATAATTTTAACAAAGGAGGATTTAGAAAATGTTATATCAAGAATAACAGGGAAACAGTGCGTTATTGATTATCTCGACCCCGAAATCGAATGCTGCGGTCAGATGCCGGTATTTATGAAAATCGGTAATATTAGAATAATCGAAACACCAGGAACTACATGAGTTGAGTTTAAGTATAAATATTCGAATGAATACACAAAACTTTCAACAAAATATAAACTCTGCTTGAAATATGTTTTAACGAATTAATTTAAAATTTATATTTTTATCCCTGGTTCATCATCTAGTCCATTAGCTCTTATATTAGACCAAAAATCAACTTCTATAGTCATTTGAACAGGAGCTTTAATTTCAATTAGTTCGCCTTGAAAATCAACTAATCTAAATGTCATATCTTTTAAATGGTGTGGTTGAATTCGAACCCATTTTCCTTCGTGCCTTAATAAAATCGGGAAATTAGGCATGAATACAGAATTAACGGCGTAACAGAACGATTTATATTCTATAACAGCATTTTTATTATTAACTCCTGAAATTCCTGTTACATTACTTATTTTTGATTCAACATATAAACAGTTTCCATAACATATGTAGGGTGCAGATTTCATTTCAATTATATATTTCTGATTTTCAATAGAAGATTTTAATGGTAATTCTTGATGATAAGCACCTAGAAATAAACGTGCTCGATGAGTCATATCAGTAATTTTAAATTCTTTTTCGGAACTAAATTTTATTATTCCTGAATCAGTTAATTCACAGTTAATGGCTCCATTAAATTTTTCATCAATGAGATCCTGAATCTTTTTCTCTAACGTATCAATATCATATTTATTTCTTGCTTTAAAATGAATTTCAGTACTAATACCATCAATTTCAAATGTAATGAAATCGTTAGCGTCTGTTATAACAAATGAACCGATAGTACTAAAATCAAGAACTCTGAAAGCTAGTGGTTCATTCTGAAGACCAAGGTTAGTTTGTAATTTTAATGTCCCGTAATCATTAGGTCTGTACTTTGCAAATAGAACAACATTTTTATTATAATTAAAAATATGAGTATATCCGCATATTCTTATGAAGCTGATAGGGCGAAAAGATTAATTTTCGGTTCATACACGTTTTCATTTGATGATGAGCATTTAATAATCACTGACGGAAAAACTGAACATTTAATCTCGTGGAAAGAATATGAAAAATTCATTCCAATATTAACGCCATGCACAATGCCTTTCATAAAGGACGGTGAAATTATTGAAAAAGATAATACAACGGTTTATAGGTCTGTTTATGAAGCATTAGAATATATGTTGAATTATAATCCCGAAAGATTTGACCCAAGCACTACGCCATGTGCAATGCCCTTTATTAAGGATGGTGAAATCGTAAGGGTTCCGAATTCAACGGTTTATACAGCTGTTCAAAACAGTTAACAAAACATTTTAGCGAATATCTTTAATTCAGAAACTACAGAAATAAAATTACCGTATATAACAGATGCTAAAGAAATTAAATCAAAAACAACAACATTATTTACATCACTTAATGATTTAATGACTTATATAATTAATACTCCTTCACCGACTTCGGCATTTGATCCAAACTCGACGGTTTGCAGCGTACCTTTCATTAACGACAGTTCATTAATTGAATTAAGGGATTCAACAGTTAATGAATCATTAAAGGCTTCATTAATGAAAATCATTGATTTTAACTCATTCATGAATTCATATAATTCATTCATTAATGTTTCATACACTTCTAAAGAAGGTGAGCCAAAAACCATCAATAAAGCAGTGTATGAAATAAAAGCATCAATGACGAAATTGAATTCGTTAACTTTTGACGGTGATAGTTCCGTTAACAGCATGACATCAGGAAAAACGATTTTAACGAAAGAATATTTAAAATCTCATGTTAGTGAGTTCGTTGAAATTGAAAAAGAAGGTGGAATTAAGTTCGATCCACTGGGTTTCATTTTCGACTTAGCGAATGCGGGTGTTAGTTTCGCTGAATGGACAACTATACAGAGTGAAATAAATGCAATATAGACGTTTTTGGGGTCAAAAGCGGGAATGGGTGAGTTTGTAGATGCTGCAAGAACATTAGGTGAAACGGGAAATTTTGTAGATGGTTTTAAAAGACTTGTTTCAAATGTTTTAACAAATACAAAGAAATTATTTAGATATACCGTACATAACGGACAGATTTTCGAACAGGTAGCAACTAACCCTCCGGTTATGGCTGCGTTGATGATGGCTAGAGACATAAACGAAGAGGAAGAAACAGAGGAACTTCAGGATACGGGTCAGGTTATTCGAGACATTAAAAACGTGTATCCTGAAGTTATTGATTTATTTAGAGGTGTTAATGATTCGATTTCAAATCATTCTATAACCATTGATGAAGAGAATAAATTAACAGATTATATATTCGTCATTATTGCAGAACTAATGAAGAGAATAAATGAAAAATGTATAGCTGATATAATTAATGTCAGCGATGTAATGATGAAAAGAAATTTCGACTCATTATTTACAGAACCGAAAACAGAATACAGTCTTTATGATGTAATTACTGAATTAATGAAAAAGATTAATGATAATAAGAGTTCTGGCGGAAGAGTTGAATTAGAAGTGAATGATGTTAATGAGAAATTAGATAGTAAAGCAGATAAAGACCATGTTCATTATATAAGTTCAGATGAACAGATTATAACGGACTATCATGGATATTTAACACAGGATGAAGAAGTGAATACGGAAGATGTTAATGAAAGAAGATATAAATTCATTTGTTAACGATGTATTAGTTGAACCAAGATTTACTTTGATGGTTAAGCCAAAAATAACTGTTGAAGATGCTATTAAAAATAAAGCTGATGTAAATCATATGCATCCTGAGTTAAATCGAGAAATAGTAAACTTAAGGCATGATTTAATAACAGAACATAACAATATAAATTCACTTCAAACTTCTTTAGACAGTAAAGCAGACAAAAATCATTCGCATGAATCCTTCACAACTGTTAGAGCAGACGACATAATACTGAACTTTGACCTTGGTTCAAGTGCACCTTTAGAGAATCCAAGCACTAGCGTAAAAGACACGCTTAACAGTTTAGATAACAATTGCAGGAACATTGAAGGTCATGCCAGAAACTTTGAAGCATATGAACTACCAGCAATGTTAGCTAAGAAAGCAGATAAAGAACATACACATGAATTCTTCACAACTATTAGAGCTGATGAGATAATATTGAATTGGGCTATTGCTTCATCAAGCATGCGTGATGAAGATATGTGCACTAACCTAAGAGATATGGTTGTTGATTTAGCCAATAAAACCGACAAAATATATGTAGATGAAGAATTAAATCGTTATGATACAAAAGCAATGAGTTATACAGAAGAAGCAAAGGAATGGGTAGATGAAAATTATGTGAAGAAGTCAGAAGTAAATGATGCAGTTAATGGTAAAATTAATGAAAGATTTTCGAATATAGATTCATTAACAGTTAATGACATTCAATTACACCATCAATTACCTGGTCAAAAGAATGTGGAATATAATAATCTCACTAATATTCTTGATGGTTTCGCTGAATTTAGAACTGATGCAACAAATGCGATTGCAAGCATGAAAAATGAAATATTGCAAACCATATATCCTATCGGTGCTTTATATACATCAATGAATTCAACAAATCCCGCAAGTGTTTTAGGTTTTGGTACATAGCAGCAGATTGTAGATAAATTCTTATACTGTACTAATTCATCAAATCAAACAGGAGGTTCAAAGAAAATTTTAGAAGCAAACCTTCCACCGCATAAGCATACAGGAACTACAAACACAACAGGTAATCATTCACATTCAATAACAAAAAGAGGTTATACAAATCGTGCAGCAGGTTCGGATAGACAGGGAATGAATAGATATGATATTTCAAGTGACCCAGTAGATTCAAGCGCAGGTATTTTCTGTGGAACCGCAGGAAATCATTCACACACTTTCACAACAAATTCAACAGGTTCGGGTGCAGATTATATGCCACCTTATATGAAAGTTTATGCATGGGTTAGAACAGCTTAAAATTTACTAAATTTATTTTTACATAAATGAGTTTAAAAGAAGTATTCGAATCATCACCGTGGAGGTCATTTAAAAAATTCTATGAAGCTGCAAAGAATGCGGGATTTAATGATAGAACAGAAATTAAGAGATTTTATGATGAAAATATAGTTCATCAGGTTAAAGTTAATCCATACGACTACTACCTTCCCATTTATTCTAAAACCCATGATGCATATCAATTTGATACACTCGTTCAGAGTAAGAAAGGAAGAAAGCCACCATTTTTGATTTTCATTAATGTTAATACACGAAAAGCTTTTGCGTATATAATGAAAAATAAAGGAACAAAAGAAGTTTTAAGAGTTTTGCAGACGTTCGTGGCAGAACATCATCCCACTTCATTAACTTCAGACCAGGATTCAGCATACCTCAGTAACGAAATTACAGAATTTTTGATTAAACATAACGTTACTCATTACACGACTGAAGACCATAACCATAATATTTTAGGTATCATTAATCGTTTCATTCGAACGCTCAGAGATTTAAATAAAGAAAGAGATTTTACGGAGGAATCAATGAATAAAGTCATTAATGCTTATAATAAATCAACTCATAACAGCACAGGATTTAAACCAAACGAAATGACTTCAAAAGAGGAGGATGAATATATAAAACAAAAAAGAATGTTAACGGAGGAAAGAAGAAGTTCATCATTACTACCAGGAACTAAAGTTAGAATCATTCTTGAACATAAACCGCATGAAAAAGTAAGAAATCAGTTAAGTGATGATTATTATATCGTTGATTCCTCACAGGGTAATGGTTATTTAATTAAAGCAGCTGACCATTCGGTTGCGTTTTAGTTGAAAGCGAAAATGGAAGATTAGCTAAGACGGTTGATGAAGCGAAAAGAGGTATAGTTAATAAAATTGTGAGTTATGATGAAGACAAAGATGAATACACTGTCATTTATGAAGGAGGTGTGGATGATAAAATTCCTTCTAGAAATTTGAGAGAATCGAACCCTACACATTTATCGGAACTCGAAAAGGATTACTGGAAGGATAAAAATAAGCCAAAATTAATCAAAAAAATTTTATGAACTAAATATATTTTATGTCTGAAGTTAATGAGATAATGAAGTAACGGATGAACTGCAGAAATATATTTTATCATTAATGATTTCATGAATTTTATATATTAATGTTTTCGTTTATGTTGAAGGTGTCACCACGTCACCATGTCACCAGGTTAATTAACTTCTTTTAAAAATGATGACAACATGACATTTAGACAACATTCCCGGAAATTTGATGCAGCCCAAAAATAAAGTTAGTTTTAAAATTATTTTTATTTTTTTATTCCTATATAAATGACAGCAACAAACAACAACAGCAACTTTATCATTTCTGATGAAAAAGTTATTGATTCATTAGCTGAGGAATTAGTTGTGGCAGAAACTAAAACCCTCAACGAAAGAATTGGTGAAAACAAGATTGATTTACACAACTACCTCAAACATGATGGAGGAAGAGGAAGGAAAACTGGTATGGCTTTATTAGTAAATAAAATTCAAAATTTAACTATTATAGATGTTGAGATCAATAAATCATACAATGATGAACTTAAAGAAACAGTTAGAAAAGATATTTTATCAAAACTTTCGGATAAAGATGTTACCGTTAAAACCGCTTCAGGAGGTCTTCACATTTATTGTAACACTAATTTCTTCTATTCAGTTTCAAACAGAATGATTAAATGCTATTCCTGCAATGATTATGATATTGATATCATGACTTAAATGGATTATTCAAAGCGTTCATTAGTGGTTATGGCTGATTCAAGAGTTCGCAAGAATGCAACAGAACCAATCAATACATACTCATTCATTCGTGGAAGTTATGATTCAACATTAACTAGAACAGTAAACGATATATTAAATGATTTGAATATTAAGGTAAGAGTTGAACAGAAGAACGAAGAAATAAAGAGTATAATGAATGAAAACAAAGATGTAAACATTGACGATAAACTAGCTCAAAGCATAGTTGATGGTATTAGTGATTTTGAAGTACATAATGACGGTGGAAACATGAATTTAGAAAAAGAAATAACATTATTCACACTGTTTCAAGCTATTAATTCGTTACCGGATCATTTAATTAATGAAGCATACGATAACGTTTATAACTTCTGCAGTTTAACAGAAAATGCAAAAAGTAATTTTGAAAAAGCACGTAGTAGATATGCACATTTAATGACTTCTCCATTTGTTTTAGTGAAGATTCTAAAACTTTATCAAAAGGAATATTATGATGAATACGTTTTACCTTTATTACGTAAGCCAAAAATAACATTTGATATAAAACTTGATGATTCATTCTTGATAACAGATATTAGACGCAAGGCTGAAAATCATCAGTATAAAAACAGTTCTGAAGTCATTGAGGATTTATCACGTGTAATCCGTTTTGTAGATTGTGGAAACAAATATTTCATTCAAAAGGACTATAATATTCATGATAAAATGAATCAAATATCATTCGTTCTTCAATCAGCCATGAAAGAGTCACTCAAAATGATTAAATTATTTAAAGAAGAAGGTAAAACCATAACAGCATGGGACGTACTACTAAATCAATTATCCTCATTAACCGTTAAGGGTGTTTGCTTTAAATCTGATTCTCCAGATGTTTTCTCAACGTTTCAGGGTTATAAATACAACGTTCTCGAAAAGCCAGATTACTCAAAAATTGAGATGTTTATGAATTTCATTAAAGAAGCCATTTGTGATAATAACGATGAAGTGTATAAATATCTACTCGGTTGGATTGCATCAATGATTCAACATCCTGGAATCAAGAATGAAACAGCAATTATTTTGAAAGGACTTCAGGGAACAGGTAAAAACAGATTTACAGACATTATTTCTGAACTTCTCGCCGGTTATTCATGTAAAAACATTACTGAAATAAGTGAGCTAACGGGTAATTTCAATTCAGTAGTTGAGAATAAAATGCTTCTTGTACTTAACGAACTCAAGAATGTAGGTGAAGATAGACTCGCAAACTTCAACGCTTTGAAATCAATTATAACGGATAATGAGATTAGAATTAATGAAAAGAATCAACCCAGAAGAACTGCTCAGAATGTTGCCAATTTCATTTTCGTAACTAACAACTTTTACCCTGTCAAAATTGAAGTTGGAGACAGAAGATACGTAGTTTTAAGGGTTAATGGTAAATTTAAGGGTCAATTTGATTATTTCAAGAATTTAATGGATTCATGCACAAAGGAATTTTATGATAATTTACTAACATATTTTATCAATTACGACCTTTCATCATTTAATGTATGAATCATACCGATGACTGAAGCCAAACAAGATTTAATAGAATTATCAACAAATCCTTTAGATGAATGGATAAATACACATTATGATGAACTGTGTGCAGGTATGACATGTAAAAATGCTCTATTCTGCAAACCATCAGACATGAAAGACAAAAACTTTCAAATGAGCATTAAAGATAAATGTGAAAGGAAACAGAGAAGAATAGATGGTAAACAGACGTGGTGTTATGTTTTAAAAGAAGAAATGAAAGGATTATATAAACAGATTGAACCAAACGATAATGATGATTCATTTACTGACGATGAAATACCTGTAAATGATGCAGTTTAAAGTATGATTGGAATTTATTTTTGCATTCAACCCAGGCTGTTGTCTAAATGTCATGTTGTCACACTTTTTAAAAGAAGTTGATTAACCAGGTGACATGGTGACGTGGTGGCGTGGTGACACCCTCAGTTATTCAAAAATAACTCATAAAATGCCTTCCATCTTCTGTGTTGTCTAAATGTCATGTTGTCACACTTTTTTAAAGAAGTTAATTAACCTGGTGACATGGTGACGTGGTGACACCTTCAGTTATTCAAAAATAAATTTTCTTATAAATCCTCAGAATCACTTTCCTCAGGGTCACTTTCCTCAACTATGGGCTCTGCGTTGCGGCTTTCCATACCTTCTTCATCAAATTCAATCGTTGCTTCCTCAATTACTGGTAGGATTTTATGGAGTGTATCTTTATTCGTTATCATCTTCAGAGATGAAGGATAATATTTAACGACATTTTCTCCTTTCTTGAATTCTTTCTGCTGCGTTAAATCTAAAACGATGCTGAAAAATTCAACGTTAGAGTTCTTCATAATCGTATAATGAGAATCTTTAATATTTACATATATTCCTTTCTGTTTAAGTAATACTGCTATTTCATGTGGTGTGTAACGTTTTCTGTCAATAATGATAGCATATGGTTTAACAAACGATATATATAATCCTTTCACAGACTTTTTATTGAATATAACGTTCACATTTATCGCGTTACTGAATTCATTCTTAACAGCATTAGCGAGAGCATTGTACGAATAGAACTTGTACTCAGACATTATTTTATTAAAATTAAAAATATAAATTATTTTAAAAAAATAACTTAAGGATACCCTTACATTGCGTAGTTAGAAAGAGAATATGATATTGTCATGATTGCTAAAGTTTTAGGCTCCAGAAATGAATATACATCAAACTGAAACAATTGATAAATTGAATGAACTTTTGAGAGGTTCTCAAATAAAAAAAATTATCTAATTTTTACAATATTACTATTATTTTATCCACATATGTATATATAGTAATTTGAGAAAACTTTTAGGAAAAAATAAGTTTAATAAAAATCTGAATTTTACTTGTTGTGGGATTGTTATTAATTGACACTCCAGACGTATTACTAATAGTTATGCGTATGCAATTAAAGTATTTCTGATGGACAAAATGTGAGATTTATATCAGATAATTCATTTCTACTATTAAGTTATTCATTTATGAATTTGCACTTATTCGCACTAAATAAATAACTATTAAAAATTGTTTTAATTAATTGACACCATATAATAGAGTGAATTTTGTTTGATCAAACAACAATAGATGATAGATATAAAGCCAAGAAACTTGCTATTAATATGCTCTACTTGCTATTTCAATGTAAGTATGATATTTTCTAAATGTTTCGTTCAGATAACTTAGATATATTAGTCAAAATTTGAAATTTTAATAGCACATATATTAAAAATAATTATTATTCATAAAAGATTAATGAAATAGTAAAAAAAATCAATCAAATTATAAAAATACAACATTTAGAAGAATTCTTATTATCCTTCAAAAAGTCAGTATTTCTGCTGTAATTTTCTACAACATTGTAGTTATTGCACTTTGTCTATGGATTTGTATATATGTTATATAAATTATATATCTAAAACTGCCATAAGTGCAATTTTTATATAAATTGTTTATTTCTTTAACAATTTCATATGAAATATGCTTTTTTAAGCGTATCAAAGCTGTGTTCTTAATGTGCATGGATATATCAAGAAAAATGTCGAAAAAAAATGTGAATTCAAAAATTCACTGAATTTTCACCGTTTTTTGAATTTTGCTACAGCACTAATATTAAATAATACTAAAATCTTCTGTCTTTGTAAAAGAATAAATTCTGACAAAAAGTGCTCGTTTAAATTTAATGATCATCTGTATGACTAAGTGGTAAAAAGTGTTTATGACCAAAAAAGGGTTACATGCTTAGTCTATTTTTCTGACAGGATACTCTAGATTTACATGATCTCTATTTCATATCTCCGTTTTTAGATTCTTCGACAGATTTTATGATAGAAAACCAAGATTAACAAATTTCCGGCATGTTAATGAAGAAATCTGCAGCTACCCTCAATATTATTTCAATAACCAGTATCGTTTCTCTTACAATTTATTTTTTTCTCAATAATTTAACAAGAAATAACAATACACACTTGGTTTTACGTATAAAAGCTAAGTGTCGAACTTAATCAACTTTACTTACTTAGCAAATGAATATTTTTGTGGTTGCGAGTTCTGAATGCTGAAGTTTTAGATTTCTCTATAAATGATATCATTGCACTTACAATGTTGTTCCAGCCTATCGCATAAATCATAGAAAATCCAAAAAAAAATAATATAAAGAAAATTCATGTCATGAAGTTCAAAAAATACCGTGTAACATTAAAATTTGTTATGCATAATACATTTTAGCTATTATTGATTTTTTTTAATTTTCGAGAAATTGAATGGTGAGTCCGATAGAGAAATTTTTAAAAATCCTAGTGCCTCATAGAAGTAATTTCCCTCGTCTCCCATACTTCCAAATGTATGCATATGACATAAACTTTTATGCATTACACAAGTGGCCAATAATATCTATAGAGTAAAAAATTAGAAATTTAATTTTTTTATATGATAGTTATATTTCAGATTTGCGAGCGTAACTTTTTTCTCCATGGCATACTTGTTTTAAGAGCAAATGATCAAAATCGTCCTTCAATTATTGAAGGAGCTGATATCTTTTGAAAATTGAATTGAAAGGGTATTCAATTTTCAAATTTCCTCTCAATTTTGGAAACATATCAACTCTATGAATTAACAATTATGTGCCTTCACAGTTTATCAGTCATATAAGGTGCTTATAAAGAAAAAAGTTACGCTCGCAAAATATGTTTTTATATAGATTTCACATAAAATAATTATGTAATTTCTAAAAAGAATATTTTTGTTCTTGAATATTAAAGTGTATTGTAGTTTAAAAAGTTTTAAATATGTTGCTAAAATTTCAGGTTTATAGCTCATGTCTAGCATGACTTCTTCGTATGCGCAAAAAATCTGACACGTAAGGGTATCCTTAAAAAATAAAGGGGTTGTGCCATGTGAGGTGAAAATCACCATACACCGATTGGACCTTTTTTAAAAAAGATATGGTGAGTATTTGATTTGTTCCTTGGTATTTTGCACGCAGATAGACTAGGGTAATGCCGATCATTTCGTGTAGGAATTACGTAAAAAAATTATGACCCAAGTTATTCACATTATAAAATTATATAAAGTGTGTCTAATTTCAATAATATTCATATGACCTTATAGTATGGTACCTATATAATAATAATACATATAGTTTATAGTAATATCTCAGTTTTTATAGTTTGATATCTTATTAATTATGATCAATATGTGTGTATTAGTGTATATTTTACATGGCGCATATAGACTTGTGTTAGACACACACATTTATATATATTAAAATGAAAAATACGCAGATAATAAGGATCTCAAGATGTGATGCCGAGCATCTGCTACTTATTTGGGGGTAAGCAGCAGATGCTGACATATGTGTGTCATAGCAAGTGTATCTATGCTAATAGATTACACTTGCTATGACTTTCCTGGAATCTCAAGATGATTCCGGGAAAAACAGTAATAACCTCTCAAAATGTTCGTTTCAATATCATAAAGCTGAGAAATGGGCTTTGACCTTGAGAAAAGGCCCATTTCCCAGCTTTATGATGAATTTTAGTTATCATTGCGAGTGTCTGCTGCAAATCTCGGTTGAAGCAGCAGGCACTCGCAACTGTATTCCACGGCAAGTGTATTTATGGTGTTGGAATGCACTTGCCGTGGCTTTTGTACAATCTCGTGATCTTACTGGAGTGAGCGGCAATGGAAGCCAAAACCACTCCACTCAGTACCAGAAAGCTATGAAGGAAGTCCTAACCTAGAGAAAGGGCTTCCTTCATAGCTTTCTGGGTGACATGAGATTTGTAATTGTTGAACATTGAGTATTTTGCAGGCTCTGGCCTTTGCTTGGGCCAGAGCTTCGTATTTGGATGTTCCCAGGGCCGGATTCCTCTCCTGCCGCCCTAGATCAGGACGGCATTTGAGAAAGCCGGCCCTGAGGACAGTAAGCGAAGCCCTGGCCTTTGCTAGGGCCAGAGCCTGTATTTGTATGTCTTTCAGGGCCGAGTTCTTGCGAGACCGTCGACATGATCGACGATCATCGCAAAACTCGGCCCTGAGGATTGTATTTGCAGGCTCTGGCCTTTGCTTGGGCCAGAGCTTCGTATGGGAACTCTCTCGGGGCTGGTTTCCTCTCCGGCCGCCCCGAATCAGGGCGGTCTTTGAGGAAACCGGCCCCGAGGATGGTTTGCGAAGCTCTGGCCTTAGCAATGGCCAGAGCTTGTGATTTTAATGAAGAGCCAAGTTCCTCTCGGATCGGGCCTAATGAGGACGACCGTCGAGGAACTTGGCTCTGAGCTGATGAATTGTAAACTCTGGCCTCGATGAAGGCCAGAGTTTTTAAGGGAATGTTTTGATGGGATGAGCCTATGCTCAGTAAGCTCATCCCATCAAAACATTCGTTTAAAAATTGAATTAAAAATTATCGTATGCATTGAAAAATTAAAAAAATAAAAATGAACAATATTATTATATAATGAGAATAGAATAAATTATCATAAAATTGAATAAAATTATCCAAAAAAATTGAAAATTTTAAAAATTAAATAAAAAATAACAAATTTCATAAGAAAATTAAGGAATAGAGAAATATTAGATAGAAAGAGTATGTTTATTTATGATTATAAGATTGAAATAATGAGATTTTGAGAGTTTTAAGAAGAATGTGATCTTTATATTTTTTTGGAGGAAGGTTTTACAAGAAAGGAGTTAACAAATGCAGGGTATTGTCCTTTACCCTGCATTTGTAAACTCCTTTCTCGAATTGAAATTCGATGTTTAACATTCTTTGAAAAAAGTGCAAGCTATTCGAGAAAGGAGTTTACAAATGCAGGGTAAAGGAACAATACCCTGCATTTGTAAACTCCTTTCTCGAATTGAAATTCAATGAATCACATTCAAGTGAAAAAGTGCAAGCAATTCCTGATTTGCTCATATATTTGCAGGGTCCTAGTGATAGACCCTGCAAATATATGAGCAAATCAGGAATTATGTCCGACACATTCGCATCGAAGAACAAAAGTGCGCGCTTTTCCCATTCTGCACATATTGGTGCAGGGTGCCAGTGATAGACCCTGCATATATATGTGCAGAATGGGAAAAGTGTTTGACACATTCGCATCAAAAGGTAAAAGTGCAAGCTTTTCCAATTCTGCACATATAGGTGCAGGGTGCCAGTGATAGACCCTGCACCTATGTGTACAGAATGGAAAAACTATCTACTTTGAATATTCTGCATCAGAATCTCTTGGTCAATATACAATTAAATACAATGATCACATCGATATTTGGAGATACAAGATAAGTATCTCCAAATGCCGATGTGATTATATATGATTGTCGATAAAAATTTGAAATCTCAAATAAGATGCAGATTAAAAAATGGATATGTGACCAAAATGAGTTTACAAACGCAATAGAGAGTATATATATAGATACCTCATTGTACTCAAAATGAAATAAAACAAAATTTTTGAAATTCATATCTTATATAAAACACATTATTCCTCAATACTATATGAGTAAATATGGCTTGATTAGTATAGATATATGCACATATATTTGGCCCCCAATATAAATTCTATGTTTTCGGGAAAGCAAAAGGTCCAATCGGTGTATGATAAATTTCACCTCACATGGCACCGCCCCAAAAATAAATTATATTTTTTACGGAAAATATTTTTTTATTTTCCATAAAAGATGTATAAAAAGCTATCTAGATTAGACCATGAAGAAATTAAGAAGTTATTGAAGTTATTGTTATTTAGCAAAAGATATGCGACTAACAAATCTTCATTAGCTAAATACCTCAATGATTACAGAGGTGAAATCAGTTACGAGAAAATTAATGATTACATTAATAACAAAACATTTCCTTTAAATGATGTTCAGGTTAATTTATATCATAAACAAGCGGTACCGAAGGAAGTTAGGCAGGAAATTCATGATATGATGAATGTTGATGTAGGAAGGACAAGGACAGCAGTACCGAAGGAAGTAAGAAAAGAAATGTATGATATAACTAATGTTGATGTAGGAAAGACAAGTAAGGCGTACCAAAAGAAGTAAGGCAGGAAATGCACAATATAACTAATGTTAATGTAGGTGAAACGAGAAAGAAGAAAAGCATGAGAAAAGAAAAATATAGCTGTAAAATATGCAAAAGCAATTGCACAATTACGCAAAGCAAACGAAGTGATTAAATCTATAGATGATAAAGCTCTTGATGGTGAGAAATGGTTAAAGAAGGATGAAAATAATAAACGCAAAAATGTTAAAGCAGGAAATAGAATCATAGATTTTAACATTAAAGAACTCAATGAAGAAAACAGAAATTACCTACATGAACGTTTCGGTAAAATGTTTATTAGGCTTCTGCAGAAGATAAAAGTAAATTCGCAAAAATGGATGATTTGTTATAAACTTGATGGTAAATTTACTAATTCAACATTGAACATCGAGAACATCGGAGCTTTACTTCATCAGTTAAAGCAAGAAAACTTTATAACAGAGATTGAAGCAAACGCAGCTGGAATAATTGAAAAACATTATGATTTTTTATGACAAATATTAAGAACCTCGAAGAAATTAAAATGTATGATTTAACTGAATATGAAGGATTAACGATGAGCGATATTAAGAAAGGTAAGCCACAGAAGAGAGAAAAAAGAGATGAAAGCAAATTATCAAAAGACCAGAAAGAAATTTTAGAGGCGTTAAAGCAAAGGAAACCAAAAACTAATTGATACTTTCTGGAGGGATAATGGTGAAAAGAGAACGAATAAAAGAGAAGTGGTGAGTTTTGGAAATATCTTTGCAGATTACCTATAAATCTTGAATGTTATCAAATTTTCAATGAACTTAACAAAAGAACTACAAAATTGATGACAGAAGATAACTGCTTCGTTTATGCTTGCATTCAGGCTGGAGTTGATGAGCAGACGGTAGACCACATGCGTGAAGTCATTAGAGTTAGAGATTTTCCACAAAGTAAGATTCAGGAAATTTCTAACGCAACAGGCATAGCATTTAATGTTACCATTGGTTATTTCGATAATTCAAAAGATAATAAGACAGTTCATTATACACCATCAAAGCGCAAAGCGGCGAGACCGAAGGTCACACAGAAATAAAGAAAACAATCGATTTATTACTCGTTGAAGACCATTACATGTTAAATGAAAGATTACCTATGACAACATATTTTATCAAAAATTATAACGAAATTCTCAAATCATTAGGCGGCTGGAATATAGAACGTCAAATGAAAATATATAAGAGAAGAGAAAATAAATTTGTCATTGATTCTTCACGAACAACTGCTTTATGGGAAATTTTGAAAACATTAAGAGAGTACAATTACTTTGAACCTTTATCTTATGGAGAACTTTTCACTTATACAACAAATTTATATAAACAAAAACTTGCACCGTTTAAAGATTTAAATTATACTCCCAACTACTGTGTTCAGTTAAAGAAAAAGTCCGAAAGCAAGGATAGCTCAGAATCAAAACATAAATTCATTTATGAACACGTTTTCTTCGCTGACTTTGAATGCAGCACTGATGGAGTTCATAAAGCTTTTAACATTTGTTATGACAGTGAAGATGGAAAGATTAGTGAAAGCATATGGGGTGAAAATTGTGCGACAGAATTTTTAGAAAGAATTCCTGATAAAAGTTTAATATATTTTCATAACCTCAGTTATGATATCAATTTTATTTTAAGGCATTTAACAGAAATTAAAGGAACACCGATTATTAAGAGTTCTAGAACAATGCAGATAACGGGAATATATAAAGGTAAAGCAATCATTATAAAAGATTCTTACACAGTTATTAGTACAAAACTTAAGAAGTTCCCAGAAATGTTTCATTTACAAACAGGTCCTAAGGATTCAAGTTGTTTATTAGCTAATGATAACAGAACTGGTGTCATTTCTGAAGCATGTAAGTTTGTCCAGGATGTTGAAACGTTCATGAAAAACATAGATTTAATCGAAAACTGCAGAATAGATGAAAACCATTTCAATTTAGAAAAATATAGCTCATTTTACTGTAAACAGGACGTAAGGATTTTAAGAGAAGGTTTCGTTAAGTTCAGAAATGATATATTAAAAGAATTTGATTTAAACGTTTATGATTACGTTAGCATTTGTTCAATTGCTAATAAATTATTTGAGAACAGAGTATACTTCCCTAATGGAAATTTATATGACCTATCAAATAAACCTCGTGAGTTTATTTCACGCTGTATTCAAGGTGGAAGATGTATGTTATCTGATAATAAGAAACAAAAGAGCGAAAAGAAACTCATTGCTGACTTCGATGCTGTCTCACTATATCCATCCGCTATCGCGAGACTTTATACTTTAGAAGGAATTCCGAAAGTTTTGAAGCCAGAAATGTTAAACAGTGAATATTTGTTAAAACATTTATTCGAAGATGACCAGGGCGAGTCTGAATGTGATAAATTCATTTCCGGATTCTTTGTTTTAATAAAAATAACTGATATCAAGATTAAAAGACATTTTCCACTTATAACAGTCGATCCAGAATTAAACCCGGAGCTAAAGGCGAAAAGCACCAAGGACAAAGCCAAGGACAAAGCCACTGTTCCAAGAAGTTCAAACACATGCTGTTTAATGTACGTGGACCACATCGCTTTGCAGGATTTAATAAAATATCAGGGCATCAGCTGCGAAGTATTACAGGGTTACTACTATGATGAAAAGAGAGATTTTAGAATAAGAGATGAAGTAAAGAAATTGTTTGAATTGAGATTAAAGTATAAGAAGGAAGAAAACCCGCTACAAGAAAATATTAAATTAATTTTGAACAGTATTTATGGAAAAACAATTTTGTCCCCGATAGAGTCGAAAATTCAAATCATTGATGATAAAGATGCTGTTAGGTATGCCATCAGAAATTATAACCATATTATTAAATTTGAAGGTTTAGATGGTTCGGATAAAACTATTTTCAAACTCACTAAAAGCATTTGCAGACACTTTAACTTTTGCCCCTTAGGTGTTAATATCTTATCTATGTCGAAACGTATCATGAATGAAGTATTTTGCACGATTGAAGACTTAGGATTACAAGCATTTTATCAGGATACAGATTCGATGCACATTTACAATGAATACATACCAAAACTCGCTGCAGAGTTTAAGAAGAGATATGGTCGCGAACTTATTGGAAAGAATTTAGGTCAGTTCCATTCCGACTTTGCAGAAATCACAAAAGGTAAACAAAGTTTAGCTTATAAGTCGATATTTTGTGGAAAGAAGACTTACATTGATTTACTCACGAATGATTTAAATGAAGTTGCATTTCACTGCAGAATGAAAGGCGTAAAACAAGATGTTATAGCTTTAACAGCAAATGAAATGTTTCCTGAAGCAGTTAAATGCGTTTATGATGAAGATAAAGGATTAATGATTCCTCAGGGAAAATATGATAAAGATAGTGAGTTTTCAGTTATGAAATTATATGAAGCCCTTCATAGTAGTCAGGAAATTGCATTTGATTTATGCAAATCATCAGCACCGTGTTTTGAAGAGAAGTTTAACTTTTCAATAACGACTAAAAATACTTTCATAAGAAAGTTAAAGTTCTGAAGTCATTTATGATATAATATATTTTTATCGTTCATGACAAAAATAAACTTTTCATATTAAATTATGTAAGCGTTTGAATTTACTATATGTAATGCACGTTCTTTTGTTATTTACATCATAAATGTTAACATATAATGAACCATTTATGTTTTCATTAATGTATAGCTCTTTATACTGACGACCGTTATAATAATAAAACAAATCTGCATCGATGTCGTAAAATAAATCCTCAAATTCATGATTTCCATAATGTGAAACAGTAATTGAATTTTCACTGATTTCATCAACGAAATTATATTCTACTCCATTTGCTTTACTTCTATTTCTATTATTTGTAGAACTTGAACACCAATGTAAATTATCAATCTTATTATTATTTCTTACTTTATCGTAATGGCCAACTTCCCCAAAACTATCAGGATTATCAATCCACTGAATAGCTATTAATCTGTGTTTAAGATATTTTTTACCGTTAAGGGTTAATCTTATATATCCATTTTTTTCTTCATACTCACTGACAGTCTTTCCGGTTTTCTTCCTTCTTATTTGATACGGATATTCAGTGTTTATTTCATAATCTTCATCAGCTACTAATGTTTCCCAGTTATTTTCCATCTTTTTATAAAAATAAAAAAATCAGAAAATTAAAAATTAACTAGATTTATTTTTTTACTCTTCGCCTCCATCAGCAGCTAAATTATAATCATCAATTCTAACAGCAGGGATGCCGGCTGGTCTAACTTGAATAGCGAAACAAGCATTTCTAAGAAATCCTAATAATATTTCGTTTTTGAGAAAACATCAACTTTCTTTATTTGTTCTGTAGTCTGTGAATTAGAAATGATATATGCTTCTTCTCTTGCGTTATCCTGACTATAAATAACTCTTCCATTTGCTAATAACTGATAAGCGCTAATGGTGTAAATTGATTCATCAAAAACGCCAAAGAAATCTGGAGAATTAGTATTTGGAATTGATGAGCCAGTAATAGCATTATCCAGGATATATTTACTTTTATAGGTAGTTGTAAGGAATGTGTTATAAAGGTCTAGCATATTTTCACCTGGCGGAGATAAATTGAATGTGACCCAGTTATGATCCTTTGCGCTTCCTGGTTGTGATGGAATTTTAGCATCGATATATCTTCTATTAGTATCACCAATATTAATTGCATTATCGATTACATCAAAATATGAACGAATTTGATGGATATGTTCAGCTGGTGTAAATTCGTTAAGCTGTTCGTTTTGCATGTTTTATGTTAGATAAAAATATTTATTTAGTTTAATATTCTAACTCTTCTTCTTAGTTGAGGAATTTGTTTCTTTTGTTCAATAATTTCATGTTTTACGTTTTTAACAAACTCTTCATTAATTTTGGTTTCCTGTTCTTTTACTGGTGGGTCTGGATTTTTTGATTCCGTTTGCTTTTCAATGAAATTTACAAATTTAGCTATTAATTCTTGATTCGTTATCGAAAGTACATCGGGTTTAGGTTCTGGTTTAGGTTCCGTTTCCTTTATCGTGGGCTTTGCCCTGACAGCCTCGCTGTCTTCCGCTTTTGTTTCAGATGGAGGAGGTTTAATATCAATTTTATCAGTTTCCGAATTCGTTAATGGAACTCGTCTTTTTCTTACATAAATTTTTCCATCTTTACTTGTTGATACATAATATAATGGATGCTGAATTCCTCTTGCATCATTTAATATAATCGATTGTCTCTCAGATTTTGATAGGCTCATATTTAATTCAAATAAATTTTTTAAATTTTGAATTTTTTATCGGTAATCAAATGAGTCAGGGATTAGATATTGAAGCCATCAAAAAAGAAATTCGTGAGCAGATATTAACAGAACTAAAGACATCAAAAACAGAAGAAAAACCAGAAAAACCAAAAAGGAAATTAAGTGAAAAGCAGTTAGCCGCATTAGCTGCAGGAAGAGAGAAGAACCCGCGAATGAAAGCAAAAAGAGAACGTGAGGCTAAAGAAAAGGCGGAGAAGGAAAAGGCTGAATCCATTGAGAAGAAAGAATAAATGATATATTTTTGTTTGTAATAAATGTATAGACAAGTACCTTTAACAGTTGCTTTCAGTTCTGAAGACGAAAATGTTAAAATAAATGGAAATAGAATCACATTTAAATTACCTATTGACTGGTCTGTTAATATAAACGAAAAATATATTGGTTTATCAAGTATGTATATAACACGAGGATTTAGAAAGGTTGAATTTGAGCTCGAAGTTGTTGTTATAAACGAAACCAAGAATTTAAGCAAACTATTCACATATATAAATATTTCAAAGACGACACAACATTATATGAATGCATGAGTGATTTTAACGAAATTTTCGAAAAGAAATTTAACAAAAACGCTTTAGGATTAAATGTGTATCTTGATAAATTAAAAGAAGAAGGAATTCAACCACAAATTATAGACTTTCATTATGAATTTATTGAACAAATAGATGATTCACATACATGCACATTTGTTATATACTCACCGTTTAATGAAATAGCAGAAAAGAGACAAAGTGATTTTAGGATAGGTTTTAAAATTTCTCAGTATAATGAAGACTTCATGAATGTATTTAATTATAAACCCGGAGAAGAACGAACAGTATTATTACCAATAATAACATATAATGTATGGGACAGAAAACAAGTCATTTTATATTCAAATATCGCTAAAGGGGTTGAAAATGAATTTATCGGTCATACTAGATCGACGCCATTAACAAATATTAAATATTATAAGTTATCAGGAAATAATAGAGAGTTTTGGATTGATATGTATTCTACACATGATCATAAATGCCCCGTTGTGTTACCCGAAGACGGAAAGGATGTTTTCTTCCTTGAGGCTCAGTTACTGAATTCAACTATTGCAACTTTATAAGAAAATTCACAAGGTTAGAAATGAGGTTAGATATCGGGTTAGATATACCCTAAAATTAATTTTATCATTTATGAAAAATTTAGTATATACAGAAATTAAAAAAATTTTGAGTTAATTTATTTTAAAAAAATTATTTTTTACTCTGGGTGTTAAAATCTATGATAAAAAAAATAAATAAAAAAATTTTAACGTTAATTTTTAAAGTTTATTTTTAAAAAATTATTTTTTTTATTTTGTAAAGTGTCAAAAATTTTAACGTTAATTTTTAAATTTATTTTTTAAAAAATTATTTTTTTTTATTTTGTAAAGTGTCAAAAATTTTAACGTTAATTTTTAAGTTTATTTTTTAAAAAATTATTTTTTTTTATTTTTTGTAAATGTCAAATGTATTTTACGTGTCAAACGGTTTTTGTAAATTCTAGTAATTTTGGTTCCGAGGGGCGTAGACCCTTGGTACCGAAATTATGGATACTAACTTAGGCTGCATAATTACTGTGCTTCTGATTTGCAGGGCTCTTATGGAAGACCAAGCGGAGGTCTGATGCTGAAACCACTTGCTGGTATGGATGAAGCAGCACTATGATTGGTCAGAACAAAGGCTGCACATCATACCAGCAAGGGGATGGTTGAGCGTGACGCCAGCTATGGTCTTCCATGCAGAAATGACACTTTTGCGTTTTTGGCGGGAAAGTTTTGAGCAGTTGCTTTGAGCTAGCCCATTCTTACTACCATTACAACACACTCATACTGCAAGTATAGAATTTAACTTTTTTTAGGCAAAGTTTCAAATTTCTAATTTATTCAAATTCATATATTTTTAATATAAGCGATATTATATCTAAAATTACTTTATTTGCACATAATATTATACTTTTATAGTTAACCCTTTTTAAATTCTTTTTGCCTTCACCAATTTTTTTATTTTTTTCTTGAAACTCATTGAAAAATTTCAATTTGGGACAGTGGGAATCCCAAACAGCAAGCAGCCCTAGTGGATTGGGGAAATCCATACATCCTTAATCTTGTAAAAGAAAAATATTAGGAAAAGAAGTATAATTTTTTTTAAGAATTTATTATGAAAATGATTTTTTGAAGATCTCAAAAGGAAAACACAAGAAATTAAGCAAGGGAATGCAATGTATAAAATATAAAAATCTATATTCTACTCTCAAATTGACATTTTAGCAAATTTTGAATTAATCTACAATTATGATTCAAGAAAATTCCAGGATAAACAAATACATTTTCTCAAACGACTCTCCACAGTAAATAATCTACAAAACCAATACCCTCATTAAAGTTCTTTGAGGTGAAATCAAAGAGTTTTCGCTATAATTATTTCGAGTAAACAGTAGTATCATACTTTTTTGTAAAGAGTTCCAATCAATATGGGTTATGGAAGAAAACACAAAAATTGTTCTATTACATTGCAAGAAGCAGATATTTTATGACTTTATCAACCATTTTTCGATGGTCGTTACCCCCATCGTCACTTTTTAAATAACTTTTATTGAGAATACAATTCAAAAAGGAAAATTCAATGTTAAACTGGGTAAGAGGCAAAGTTTCGCTAAATAAGCGTAGACTTCAGGAAGGCGATTACGACTTGGATCTATCCTATGTGGGTGATAGTATAATCGCCATGGGATATCCAGCTTCCGGTTTTGAATCTCTTTATCGAAATGATTTTTCCGTTGTCAGAAGATTCCTCAACGAGAGACATGGAGACAAGTACTGGGTATATAATCTTTGCTCAGAACGATCATATGATAAATCAGCTTTTGACGGTCGCGTGAATTGTTACCCCTTTGAAGACCATAATCCACCAAAGTTTGACATGATTAGACAGTTTTGCAATCATGCCAAAGAATTTCTGGATAAAGACCCTTTGAACATCGTTGTTGTTCATTGTAAGGCCGGAAAAGGACGTACTGGCGTTATGATCGGCGCACTTTTAGTACACATCAGAAGATTTCCACATGCTTCCGAGGCATTGCAATTTTATGGAAGAAAACGAACCCATGATAATAAAGGTGTGACCATTCCTTCTCAGCGCAGATATGTCTTCTACTACGAACAATTCCTCCAACTCGGCCTTCCTTTACAGGACCCATTTGTCGCTTCTCCTGCCCGTGTTACAAAAGTTGTTTTCAAGAATGTTCCAAAAAAATTTTTCACAAGATCTCTACATATCATATTCAAATCAATCCCTGGCGATCCAAAAGTCGAGATAAATTCTAATGATCTTAAGATTGTTCCTGATAAAGATCATGAACACAAAACATTAACTTTCGATTTTGGCGACAAACTTCCTATGTACTCGGGAGATTTCCGTATCGCCGCTGTCAAGGGCGGTACAAATATCTGGTACATGTGGTTTAATTCACAATTCATTCTTCCTGAAGAAGAATTCACGAAGCCTGACATCGACAAGATTTTCAAGGATAAGACATTCCCAGATGACTTTATTATGGCCGTTTATTCTACAAAATAATATCATAATTTATACTCTTTCTTTTTTATTTCTGTTCAAATACTTAAACTTTATTTATGTTAATATGTTACTTTCAACATTCACCTTAATTCAAAAATATTTTACATTACGAACATGGAAAAAAAAATAAAAACGAAATTTTGGATAAACAAAACGAATTTACTTACAATTCACGAACATTAGAAATAAACCGAATAATAGCTTTTAACTTTTCCGATAGGATCGTATAAACAATACAAATTTTTTCTTGGTTAGGAAACTTCTTTATAGTGGATAAGCAGAATTTATCGAATTTTCCCCAAATATTGCAATAGTCAATGTCGGATTTCGCGAGGGTAATTTGATAAATAAAATAATATAGCAAAAATAAGGTTCTTTTGGCGCTTACTTTCAGAATCATCTTGTAGAGTAAAAGTTCTAACAGTGTATAGCATTGGATATACTTAAGAGTCAGGATAACTTTTCGAGATTCGGTTAATTTCTTTAATTCAGAAAAAATCGGGTTATTGTACGGTGGCTCATTAAGATATTTGACTGCAAGCTCAGCAGCTTCGAGGAGATACTTAATCAGGAAAGATAATGCAAATAAATATGAAACAATCTTAAATGATGCCATATTTGCCAACAACATCGAGTTAAATGAATGAATATTAAACAAGTAGTCTAAAGCTCCCGTTTGTTGGAATGCAGCAGATTCAATCATTGAAACAAAGAATTCAAACCATGACATATGTGTGAATGTTGAGGGCATTACTGTTTTAAAGTGACTAAAGTTCGGAAATGGAAATATTACGGAAAATAATCGAATTGAAAAAATAACGCGCAACAAGATCTTAATTCCGGCCCACGCTTTGATCCCAATAGGAGCATGGAAATTCAAGAATTCTTCTGTTGTATTAAACCTATTTCCATTAAATCCGAATGGCATCTTTAAAAAAAAAATAAAAATAAGAAGGGGGGATCTTTTAATTTTGAATCTCCCCCAATATAATTTTTTTTTTTTTTGTTTTAGATGACTGATAATAAATTTACTCCACCAAAAAGATGGATCAACTGTCCAAAGTTTGGTGACAGAGTTCCAAATACACACTTTATTCCATTAAAGGCCCCATTGGCTGATAAATATTCAGATTTATATGAAAAACATCGTTTTACATTCAGTATTTTTCAAGAAGAACAACGTAAGCTTGGTCGCGAAATTGAAGTTGTTATTTCTCTCGCAAATACAGATGTATTTTACTCAGTAAATGATCTAAATGGAGTTAAATGGCGCCATATTCCTTGCCGAGGTCACGAAACAGCACCAACATCAGACGAATATGCAAAATTTTTAGCAACTATTGAAGAATTCCAACAATTACCAGATAATACTCTCATTGCAGTCCATTGTACACACGGCTTCAACAGAACTGGATATATGATAGTCCGTTATCTTGTTGACAAGTTGCACTACACATTACTTCAAGCTCTTCAGCTTTTTGCCTCTGTTCGTTCTCCAGGAATTTATAAGGTCGACTACATCCAAGTTTTATGTCAAATTTACCAGGTTGATGAAACACAAACTCTTTCCGAGCTATTCCACGTTCCTCCAAGCGAAATCAAAAATATCAAAAAGCCGAAATGGGAATTTCCAGATCCCAGCACATTACCACACTTCAGAGTTGAGAAACCCATTGTCAACGAAACACAGACTTTAGAAAATGTCGGAACACATTTCAGAGATTCAGCGATTACATCAGAAATTTCAAAGATTTGCAGTGTAAATTATGGCAGATTTCCAGGCTCCAATCCAATCTCTATTACATCAGAGAACAAAATGCAACTTACGCAAAAAAGATATCTTGCAACTTACAAATCAGATGGTGTTCGCTATTTCCTTTACGCTTTCCACAAGAACACGTATTTAATTGACAGAAAGAACTCAATTAGGAAGGTCAACGTTACTCTAGTAACAAGAAAAGGCCAACCAATGGAAAATACTTTACTGGATGGCGAATTAGTAGTTTCGAAAGGTGATGACAAACCTCATTTCTTGATTTTCGATGTACTTTGCTTTGAAGGATTGAATTTAACTAATCATACGTGGGATTTACGAATGGATTATTCGAAGAAAGGAGTTGTACCTTTCCGCAAGATGTATTTCAATCGTAATCCAGGCGCTTTTACACGCGAAGACTTCCATATCGAAGAAAAACTCCAGTGGGAGCTCCAAAACATTCGTGACTTGGAAGAATACATTATGACAAAAGTGACACATGATACCGATGGTGCCATTTTCACTCCACTTGATTTAGAGTTTGTTCCCGGTAGATGCGATCAGATACTGAAGATGAAACCCATCGAATTGAACTCTACAGATTTCAAAATACAGCTCCACAATGGAATTTATTACATGTCTGTTACAAATTACGTTAAAAATGATGAAAAATTCCAGGAAAACATTCCTATATCTATATTAGACTTCGCAGATGGATTGGGTGTAAAGGATGGAGCTATTTGCGAAGCAGTTCTCGATTTGAAGAAGGAAGATATCGAAAATGATCCAATAAATTGTTGGTTTAAAGCTGGTTGGAGGCCTTTGAGAATCAGAGAAGATAAAGATACTCCAAACGTATACACAACATTCGCTGGTGTCTTCAAGTCAATTGAAGATAATATTAACTTTGACACAATAGCAAAAATGTTCCCTAAAAAATAAGAAATAAAGTTTATATTTGTAATTTCAATTCAAAACTTTTTTTAATTGACATACTATAATAGTCAACTCCAAACTTTTTCAAATGCGCAAAATATGCGCAGATTCAATTTTAAATAATCGTTTTTGCGCATTTTTTGCACCCCATGTAAACCCCAAAAAAATCAATATATCTTTATTTTAATAGCAGAAAAGTATAGCTGCCATATTAGGTACTATATAGTGATTTATATTTACTTTCTCCTGACCAGAAATATTAACATTTGACCTTAGGTTATTGGGATAGAAAGCTTGTGTGTCAAAAAAATTGAAAGAATGTCAGAAAGTGGTAAGTGTACCCTTAAGGGTGGCGGAAAGTGAAATGAATGACCAAAAATAAAATGCTATTATCTTGTCATATTTTTGATATCTTTTGGGAAAAATTATATGGATACAAAATTCATTTGTAGTAGTATATGTGTGCCATAATTTCATTATCATATATGAAAGCTTTTGGTTTTCCCTCCTATGATAATATTTGAATTTCACGTATGATATGTGTAAAAAATTTAAACATCTCATGATTGAAGCTTTAAGCACAAAATATGCTCAATAGAAAACATAGAAAACAACATCTTATATATATTTAAATATGAAGAAAGACTCCTTATCTTATATTGAAAGACTAGATACAAATCTAATTAAACTCTGAATATGTGCAAACTGTAAAGAAAAGTATCGGATGAAATTGGAATTTATGTGTTGTTTATTCTCATACATTGATTTTGTGCAAATTTTATAAGTAGTTCCAGATCTCATCACTTATTGCATCTTAGACGAATTTAATAAATATGTGTTTTGTTCAATAGGAAAGATAGATCTATGTACCTATATTGCATACCTTAAGTATTTTTGATATTAATTCATTATTTCTCTACCAGATAGAGATCTCAGACTACGCAAACTTTGTAGTAAATACTTATTTGTATACACTATTTAGTAATGCTACTATAACAAAAGAATTTCAAATATTTATTTAGTTATTTTCACATTTGTTATTCGGTCACATCACTTTCCGCCACCCTTAAAAAGTGAGCTCATGAAAAATTTGACTATGAAAATTCGATAAAATCATTGCACATATACATACCCAAATGACTTCCATGCGATACGGACATCCATTGCACTTGTTATCTGTTAGTTGGATTTATTATACTCTATTTTACCACAAAAAATATCATCCCCGCTACGAACATTTTATGTTGTCACTTTTCCTAATATATTCCACATTTTTTGAGATTTTTTTGCCGACTCTCTCCTTTTCAATTTTAACATTAAAATCGGAAGAAATAAGTTTGGAGCACGTTCATATTGATATGTTTGATAAATGGAAATTTTCGGATTTACGACTTTTTTTTTCTGAGCATTTTTGAAACCACAATTTTTTCAAAAAAAAGTAATTCTCTAATAGTTGAATATGTATACTTCTAACACTGAATATATATTCCAACTATTTTATTTTAAGATGACCATTTATGGTTGATAAATGAGAATTATCGAATTTTCCTTTATGTTGTAAACAGAAATTCATCAAAAGTGACACCTCAGAAAAGCTAAAATATTGAATTTTTGGAACTTTTGATAGAGCACGTTTTTAAATATTAATTAAAGTAAATATATATTTTGTAAAGATTCTTTTTAATAAAAAAGTAAAATTTTGAAGAAGAACACAAAATCTTCTGAAAAATAATATCACATAAACTCATATTATTTTCTAATATATAACTATTTTATATAAAAATCAAATTCAATGATCTTAAAAGCGAAGGATAAACCTCAAAATTTACGAATATAATGAGTGGGAATATAATGCTTATCTATCATAAAACCATATGAAATATCAATTTTTGCTTTACGCCTAATTTTTGACGACAATTAGCAAAAAATGTTAAATGTTAACACTCAGTCCATTTGAATATGAAAAATAAAATTGACTTTGATTAAATGTTTTTATTTATCATGCAATTCTTCTTGCGACCAAAGATTTGAATAAAAGTTCAAAAAATAAGATAGCTTAAAAAATAATATACGGTAGTGTTTACTAATAGATGAATAGTATATAAATTCTATTAAAATGGATTTGATCCAAAAAAATATATAAAATTTGATCATAAATAAAATCGTTTTAAATTACTTCTTCATTTAAATTATAAATTATTTTTGGTTTTATATTTTTTTGGATCAAATCCATTTTAATAGAATTTATATACTATTCATCTATTAGTAAACACTACCGTATATTACTTTTTAAGCTATCTTATTTTTTGAACTTTTATTCAAATCTTTGGTCGCAAGAAGAATTGCATGATAAATAAAAACATTTAATCAAAGTCAATTTTATTTTTCATATTCAAATGGACTGAGTGTTAACATTTAACATTTTTTGCTAATTGTCGTCAAAAATTAGGCGTAAAGCAAAAATTGATATTTCATATGGTTTTATGATAGATAAGCATTATATTCCCACTCATTATATTCGTAAATTTTGAGGTTTATCCTTCGCTTTTAAGATCATTGAATTTGATTTTTATATAAAATAGTTATATATTAGAAAATAATATGAGTTTATGTGATATTATTTTTCAGAAGATTTCATTCTATATGCCTATGAAAAGTACTCTCAAAACTAATTTTTTCCTAATTATAATTAAATCTAGAATATTGTATTATGCTTAGTATTATTTCATTTTTCTCATTCAATTTAGAATTTACAAATGTCAAAAAATTGAGAGCTGTCACTTTTGATGAATTTCTGTTTATTACACTTTAGAGATGTTTCACTCATGTATTAAATATTTTGTTCTTATATTATCATTAAATCTTCCTTAAGATTTAAAATGTTTATTTTTCATTACATTTGGGATAAACACATCAATAAATTTAAAAAATTTCTACATTTGTCTGTGACGCTCTACTAAAATATGATGAATCGTCAAAATCATCGAAATCATCTTCTTTACCTAAATTAGTTGTCTCTGTTATGCTTGGCAACAATTGATTTTCAGAACTTATCTGATTTAAATTTGATTCATTGAAAGGTTTGTCAATGAAAGTTTTTATTTTAGGAATTGGAAACATTGGCCCATTTACTGTGGAGTTTTTTGGGTCAAGTTCATAAGCATACTTTAAAAAAGCATTTTTCATATCAATTTGATTCCTTGGTTTCTTCTTTGGAAGGACTAATGTTCCATTGCTTTTCACCGCATATACAACATCGCAATCATCTCCTTCAATTATTATCTTTGCAATGCTACATGCCTTCTTTCGCATTTAAAAAAATGCTTTCAGAAAATCTGGTAAAAACTAATCTATTAATTGTTTCTAAAAAATTTTTATTTATTTATTTAGATCATAGTTAATACTAATGAATTATAAAATAAAAATCATTTTAGGCAAAAAAATAATAATTCTGAGTGATGTTATTTAATTGAAAACTTGAACCAATATAAATTTAACAAAGTATTGGTGTAACATTATGATTTCAAAATTTCACTTTTGACTTTGAACAATACACATTTGAAAAAAAACTGCACATTGTACTATTTTTACAAACCATCATCTGATCTGTTTAGTTGAAGTAAAATTTTACCATCCTCTTATTAGGTAAAATGTGATTGAAATTTTATTATTCATGGATTATCAAGTAATCAAAATAGGACCGTTGGCATATTTAAGGTCAAGGGTGATCCTATAAAATCCCAAATCATGCAAACTTATAAAAAACTTTCAAAATTTTAATATCCGGGCATAAAAAAACTACCATAATAGCAAAAATCTTCACTGATGTTAATAATGCTTATCAAACTTCATTAAATCTTAATATGAATCCAAATATTGAATAAAGATTCTTACGCTAAAATTCAACCTAAATGCAAAAATATTAAATTGATAGATGCCATTCTTCTTGAAGAGTTCTTTACAAGTTCCCACTCACTTCAAAAATTAGAGATCTGTCAGCATATGCTCCACATTTCTGCCTAAATAATCAGTGCCCTAACATGATTCAAGACATTATTCTCCATTTTGAAGAAAACAATGTTAAACCAAAATTTACAATTTCCATGCATCATGTTACTTTTACGTTATAAAAATTATTAGCATTCAATACTTACTATAGATATCGATTTGTAATTGGAATTTAGTCCCGTCCAATTTTGAACAACTTTAATCCTAAACAATCTCTGGGTGATATAGATCCTAATTAAAATGATATACGCAAATATGCAGCCAAAATTGATTAGCCCAAACATGTACTTTTTGAGCAAGCCATCATGTATATTATTATTGACGTACCAATAAATTGTTTACTCACAATTTTCTGAGGCATTCGGAAAAATTAAAAATCACCATATATCAAATAATTAATGCTTCACTTTGATAATATATTACATATTTGGAATATTATTATCATCTTTAGATTCTTAAAAAAATTTGCCTCGTAAAGTGTTTGTTTTTTTGTTCTCAAATTAATTTAATGGGAATTATATTTAAGTTCATAAATGGCGGGGAGATTAAGTTAGAGCCACAAACTGACGTCACCGTCAAAGAAGCAAAAAAGGTTGTCGGAGATACTGGGAACCTTGATGGCGAAATCTCTTTAATCTATAAAGGTCGTATATTAAACGACGACGAAATTGTAAATAACCTTGAAGGGGTGAATGAAAATTTTATTATAGTGCATAACAAGCATGAAAAACGACGAATCGATGCTTTCAACTTTTTATATCATCCCATTAATCCACTCGCAGCTTTGGCACAACTTCGATTAGAAAGACGCGATGAAACAGATCCTCCAAATTTTGAAGAACTAATTACAAATTTGGTTGAATTAGGCTTTGAAAGATCAGAATGTGAACGTGCTCTCCGGATTACTAGCTACGATCCAAATAATGCAGCATCTTTATTGCTATCCGGGAGTCTTAGCGGTATTCCAACACTAATAAATGCTCCAAATCATTTACTTCAACTAAACAGATCAGATGATGACTCAGTAGATGAAAGTTCAGATGAAGCAATTAATAGAATCAATTATTCAAGCGGCTACGAACGGGATCAAGAGGAAGAGGAAGAATTATATGATAATAGCATGCTATTCGACGACGAAGAAGATAATATGAGTGAGGACTATTCTGAAGGTGAAGAAGATGGAGAACAGGAAATCGAAGGAACAATTACAATTTCCGCACACGATTTAGGTGAAATTAGAGAATTAATGAGGCTAGCAAATACAGATTTCCATTCTGCATTCAACGCTTATAATGATTCTGATCGAAATTTTGATGCCGCATTATTTATCCTCACTCATTAATATATGCATAGAATTAGATGTTATTTATATTTGATAAATGTTATTTGTTTGATTTTTCGAATTACAAGATATATTTTTTAATTTTTTTTTTAATATTTTTCCATCAAATAAAACTAATTCCAAGGATATTCAAATTAGCATTGAATCCAATGATATGATCTATACATTAAAACTAATATTCTTAATTTACTCGTTTCAATGATTGTTTGATTGGACATCTTATAAGGTTGTATCGATATCACAATCTTAGAGAATTAAAAACTTAAGCAAACGAAACATATTTCATGCTCTGAAGATACAAGTTTCAAATTGAATAAATTTTATTGATGCAATATTTTCGTATGTCAAAAGCACCATAAAAAACATAAGTTTTTCTGCTTAAAGGCATTATCCTTAGCTATCCAATTTAAGTTTTTGTAATGAAGAAATTTTTCAAAATCAAGATATCGAAATGTTTCCTCTGTGAGTATTAATAGTTTCATTGTTTTTGAATGATGGCTGCAGTTATCCAAGTTATTCGTTGGTTAGGTTTTTTTTTATAAATCCGATGAGCGATCCAATTCAGGGTCAAATCTCGGTAATAAAGCCATTTCTTGAAGAGTTAAATGGGAATTCATTCTTTAAAAAGGAGAAGGACCTAAAAGAAAAGCTTACAAAAGCAATTAATTCACTTCAACAATCTGATGTTTCAATAACTATTGATTTAATAATAGCATTACTCTCAGTAGAAAAGAAAAACATCAGAGTTCAATGCATTGAAACACTTTGCAACTTATTTTCTGCAAGAGAACTCGAGTTTTTCTTGGCTGCAAACACATCTACATTAATTCTTCATAAACTAATCGATATACTCCAAGAACATAAATCACCACAATATAATGAAGTGATCAAATGCTTATCTGCATTCATTAAATCTCAAAATCAACAATTATATCTTCATAACGATGATTTACAAGACTTTTTATCAGCAACATTAGCGCAATTAGATACGAATCCAAATGTAGAAAATAGAAAGGCCGTGGAAACAGTCTTAACATCATTTATTGAAGTATTACAAAATTCATTACAATCAATGGACAAAATAGCCATTTCAGATTATAAAGTAACAGTTTCTACAATTGTTAAATTCATCGGTCCATCTCTACAAGAAAACTCTCTCTCAGTTTTGCTAAATATCATTCAAAAGTTAGTTTTCGAAGCTCCTGATTCTCTCAAGGACACAAACAAATACAAACAGATAGCCATGGTCGATGTACCTCAGTTATTCATTCAAATTGCGTTTGCAGCGCCAGATACTTTTTATGATCAGATTCTTGAGATGTTTCAGAAGTTTATTGCAATGGGTGACTTCATTATACCATCTTTTCCAGCTATTATCGCTCAATTGATCACTCCTGCCTTCGAAAGCAAAAGTCAATCGATTGTCAAAGCTGTTTCGTATTTAGAAGCCATCTCTTCACTCGAAAGCCATGTATTACTAACAGTATTCGCAATGTGCGACTGCTCATCAACAGATAGTTACAGAGTTTTCGAAAATCTTGTAAATTCAATTACGCAATGCATTTTATTGTTTTCATCAAATGCAACTGTAGCTATTTCTTGCTTGAGATGCTTAGACTCCATACTAATTTCATTCAGAAACTTTTTCTTGACGGCAGGAGCCAAATCCGACGATGAAAAGAGCGACAACGAAAGATTTGTATTAGAAAAGAAGATGACCATGGAAGGTTGTGCCGCAATCTTCAACAAATCGATCAAACAAGGCATACAATCCTTAATTCAGTCAGAATTAGTTGAAGATGACCTTTACAAGATCGGCGTTTTCCTCAGATCATCACCTCTCCTGAATCCTACAAATATTTCCGAGTACATAGTCAAGCCAGAGAACCAAAAAGCCTTAGAAGGTTTTATCTCCACATTTAATTTCCAAAAAGTGACACTTGATCAAGCTCTTCGTGATTTATGTTCAAGTTTCTTATTACCAGGCGAAGCACAACAGATTGACAGAGTCATGATTTGTTTTTCGAAGAAATACCATGAAGATAATCCCGAAATTATGACAGAAGATGCTGCTTACGCCATTTCTTTCTCAATCATCATGTTGCAAACAGATTTGCATAACGAGAACATCAAGAGAAAGATCACATGTGAAGAATGGATCAAAAATACAAGAGAAGTTGAATTTGCCAGGGAAGTTCCCCTGTCAGATTTAAATGACATTTACGAGCGGGTTAAAAATAAACCTCTCAAAATGAAAACCATCTTTACAACGGACGGAAATCAAGAGCAGAACCAAAAGAAGAGTCGCCAGTTACTCAGAGACTTGATGGAACGTTCGAATAAAGAAGGTTTGCCTTCATTATCCCGTGAATTGTTAATTTTAATAATTGAAAGATTGTGGCCGTCACTTTTTGCCTGTTTGTCACTTTTGCTCTCAAATTATGCCATACCTGAGATTGTGCAAGTTGATTTAGATTGTATTTCTCAGTTGATTTTCTTCCTTTCTAATTTTTCGATGCAGAAAGAGCTCGAAAGTATTTTGAGTTTTCTTTGTAATTATTGTCAAATTTCGAACGGCCAATGCCAAACTTTGGCCATTTCCAAAGCGTGTTCTCTTGCTAAAGAATGTGGAGAAGGGTTTGGTAACTCTTGGACATATCTTTTGCAGCTGTTTTCCAAGATTTACACTTGGGGATCGAATGATTTAGAAGCCATTGATTCTTCTGCGAAACAAAACACTAAAACAACAACAGAAATCAATCATACACAAGAGATTGATTCAGTGTTCATGAATGCCAAGTGTTTGCCTGGTTTCGCATACGTAGAATTCGTAAAGGCCATGTGCAATGTCGCAACAGAAGAGTTATGCATGAATCCGCCAGTAATTTTCACTTTACAAAAAATCATTGAATTGATGAAAGAATCTTTCGACAGAGTTAGATTCATATGGATACAGAGTTGGATGCTTGTTAGAGCACAATTCAATAGGACAGCATGTCTAGGACATAATGAAATATCAATGTACGCAATTGATGGACTTCGTCAAGTAGTAATTTCTTGTTTTAATTTCAAAGAAATGTGGTCTCAATTCCAAATTGATATTTTGTCACCTTTTTTGACAATTTTTATGAATAACTGTCTTTTAGAGCCGAGGAAATTAGTTTTGAGTATTGTAGAAGTTGTTATTCCTAAGATAGATACTGCATGGGATGTAATTATTGAGTTATTGGAAGCTGCTTCTTGTGATTCAGAAATTTCAATAATTCAATCATCATTCCAGATCTTTTCCAATAACTATTTGCAGATTCCTACCCGCCATGACTTGAAAGTGTTCCTAATTATGGCGAATTACATAATACAACAGTATGTTCCTTCATTAAATTTGGAATCCGCAAAATTACTTCCAAAGAAGTCAGAAGAGACACAAGAGATAACATCTGAATACATAGAAGTACTTCCAAGCATCATCTACACAACAGATAACAAAAATGTCATTGAATTTGTGACAGATTCTTATTTTATTTTGCTAAACAAATATATTCAGAAGCAAGATAAAATACAAACAATCGCTGAACATATTATGCCCATTTTCGCACAGACACCTTTGATTTCTGTGCCTTTTATGTATAAATCAATGTCAAAATACTTAATTAGCTGTTCGACCAACGAAAATGACATGATTATCCCACAGACATTGATTCCTTGGGCATCATCGATGTTTATTCAGCTCATGGACTTCGAAATTATCCATGTTTTCATCGAAGAAACTGCAAAAGTTTCAATTTTGAACGAAGAAATGAAAGAAATTGCGACAAAGTCGATTTCATTAGTTCTGAATAATGATTCGCTCCAAGAACAAGCTAAAGAATATCCAAAATTACTGGAAGATGCTTTAGTTTTCGTGAAAGAAAATAAATTACCAAAAGTGTCACTTTTGATTTCAAAAATTTCATCAAAACTTAAATTAGTTCAAGTCGAGAGTTTATCTATTGAAATAATCTTTTCCTTCTTATCAGAAGGAGCATTACAAGACGATGAAGTTGCTGATGCTGTCATTTGTGCACTGAAAATGTTGAATGAAATGAATCAAAACAAATTAACTTTGAAAGTTGTTGAAAAAATTGTTGGAGAATCGAAATCGATGAATTCGCGTTTCTTCAAACAAAAGAAGAATGAAGCAATTGTTGCTTGCTTGGAATTCCTTTCAAATCCTTCACAGGAAATAAGAGAACTTGTTAAGTCACTTGCTTTAAGCTTAGTCGACTTGTAAATATATAAAGTTAAACTTATTTATTCTTTGTAATTTTTTTATAGCCTTTACTTATATTCCATTACTTTGTGAATATTTCCTTTAACATGGTGCAAACATCAACGAAAATGATAATTTTGGAGATACCGCTCTTCATATTGCAATAAGGTTTAATTATAAAGAAACAGTTGAATTTCTTATTTCATTATAATCAAAATATAAATTTTTACTACAAATTTATTTAAATTTAATGGTCACCTCCTCCGGTGGAGATCCCCTCTGCAGCTATGGGCCACCAGTGGGGTCATATATTTTACCTCCATCGTACCACATATATTCATTTTAAATTCCTCTGTCATTTGGATATGTCGTCAATAAGAGTGTCAAAATTGTCATTTTCGGCTAAAACGGAGTTTTAACTTTCAAAATATAGGAAGCATTATTGAAAGTTAACCTTTTGCATCTGAATTGGAGGCCATGTCATTGGGGCTTAAATGCACTTCGAATTTCATATTTTCGTCAAAAACCACCAGATGACAATAATATTACTGGAACTTTATTTCAAACAATATATGGTTGCGCTGTTCTGCTTAATGAAAATAATTGTTCCTTGGAGTACTTGAAAATCAACTGAAGAGTTAATTTTTTTATTATGCAGAACCGCTCCTATCTGTTTCTAAATCTCTCTATAAAAAAATTTTAACATCTTAAACATTTTAGAATATAAAATAATAAAAAATATAAAATATTACACTTACTTCTTTGGCGACTTTTTAGAACTCTTCTTCGAACTCTTCTTTGAGCTCTTCTTCGAAGTAGAAGAAGCAGGTTGATCCTGTGGAATTGCAACTTCAGGAACAACTTCTTTTGGTTCATCCTGGAACTGAATAAATTCTGGAAGTTTCTCCATTGCTGCGAGTGCTTCAGGGTTCTTTGCTAGTTCAAGTAATTCGTTTGCAGCATTTGTTAATTTCTCTATTTCTGCAAGTTTTGAATTCTTTGCAGCTTCAAAATCATCTGTCAATTTCTTCAAAACAGCTTTTCTTTCATCGATCTTTGCTCTAACGTCAGCGTTCTGTTTCTGCTGTCCTTCGAGAGCCTTCTGAAGCTCTTCCTTCTTTGTTGTGAGTTCTTGGAGTTCTTCATCGAGTTTTTCCTTTTTTGTCTTGAAATCTGCGGCTTCTGTCTCGATTTGAGCCTCCTTTTCCTGGATTTGCTTCGTGAGGTCCTTGGATTTGTTCTCTTCCTCTTCTTTGAGTGTTCTAATGGTCTCGTTCAGCGAATCAATCTGAGATTTCAGATCATTCTTCTGGGAAACAAGAGATTTAAGGATGACCTCCTTTCTTTGGAGTTCTACAACGGAATATTGCGATTTGACGTATTGGTTTCTCAATGGTTTCTGTTCTTTTTGCTTCAAAAGTGCAGCATTTCTTGCACAGATCTCATTCAGCGCGTGGAAGGAGAAATGGTTGATCTGTGTGCCAGAAACATTGATTTTGAGGATGGTTCCGTTTTCGCGGAAAGTTTTTTCCATTGCAGATCCGGCATCTTCGGTAAAGAAGTTATCGCTCATGTCCAATGATATAAGGGAGTGGCATTTTTGAGTTGCTTCGGCGATTTTGATGCCACCGGCATTGGAAAGCATTGATGAGCTGATATTAAGTGTTGTAAGGCATTTGTTTTGGGCCAAGGCTTCAGCAATTGCATTGGCTGTCTCATCACCAAGCTTGTTGTTCGAAATATTGAGGTGAATGAGTGTTTCATTATTTGCCAAAACTTTTGCAAGGGCAACACCACCTGGAGATCGAATACCGTTGCCTGCAATATGAAGCTCAACAAGAGTTGTGTTATGTTCGAGGGCTTCGGCAAGCTGGATTGCTCCATCATCTCCGATTTCATTATTTGAGATGTCAAGGTATCCCAAATATGGGTATGTAGTAAGTACTTTGGCGAAGCCTGTTGCAACTTGAGCGTTGAAGAGGTTTGATGATAAATCTAAGTAGAAGATATGAGGGGTTTGATCAGTAACAATTACGTCGTAATCTGTTTCTGGATTTTCTGCATCAGGTTGGATAACCATCTCTTTAATTGGCTCGAGTAAGTACTGAGCAATTCTCATTCCGACGTTTGGAGCCAAATTATTTTGGCTGATGTCTAAACGCTTGAGAACTGGGTTGAAACAGAAACCATTTTCGATAACAAGCATCATATCATCACTTAAAAGACCGCAATTACTTAGTTGGATATTTAATAACGATTTGCTCTTCGAAAACATTCTTATTAGAGCAGAAGACGATGTAGGAGCTGTTGGAGCTGGTTTAGCACCGAATGATGATCCGTTTAAGCCAATTGCAAGTAAAGCGTCATTTTTAACAATTGCTTCAGATAAAGCATCAAGAGTAATCGAAGTAAATTTGTTTGGATGCAAGGATTTTTCGACTGTTCCTAATTGTAAGGATCTTAAATGGTTTGCAGAAATAATATTTGCAAGTTGAGGTGCAGATTTATCTGTGAGGTCATTGCAGCCAATATTGAATACTCTGATGTATTTGCATAATTGAACAAAGTGTGAAACAACTTGTAGACCATGATCGCGAATTAAATTGCAATAAAGATCTAATTTAATCAAATCTGTTCTATTTCTGAAGAATTTCGATAGTGTATTTGCAGCAGAAACACCAAGGTGTTGATTACGAAGAGAACAAACTGCACCCGAAACACGAGCTTTTAATCGAGAACTGAAACGCATGAATTCTTCACGAGAAGGTTGCTCAAGTGTATCTTTGCACCTAGCAACATAAAGCTCTTCTAAAAATGAAACCTGTTCTGGATTTGCTGGGCTCTCGTTCTCCATTTTTTTTAAAACGAATCAATAACGATAAAAAGTGACAAAATATTTTTTCATTTCTATTGGCGTGCAGAGTCCTTTGAATAAGATATCTATGCATTCTCAAACGAGTGTAAAATTTCGAAAGTTTTTTTTTACAGTGCAAAATAAGAAGTGAATCTTTCCAAACACATCAGGATCCGAAGCCTCTGAGAGGGAATACTTTAAAGAATTTAAACAGATGCGACCATATGTGAGTATTGAGCTGAAAATTTGAGTTTTTCAAACTGAATTGCTAGGGGCGTGTAGAAAAAAAATTCTAAATTCATTCAAATTTAAATTAACTTTATCACTAAAACCCTTAAGCCAAAATCTTCCAAACTATACAAAGAGCCATTTATTTGTACCTATAATATACACCCAAACTTTGGTCCCTCAAATGGCTGTGATAAAAGATCTGAAGTACCTATCATTGAACAAATAGAAGATAAAAAAAAATTATTTATTTTTGAGAAAAAAATGGAATCTACGCAAAACTCGCCAACTCATACAACTGAACCTAAACAAAAAATGTATTGTGTAAATGCTCTCCAAATTGCCGCGCTATTATATGCAGTAATTGTGATTTTAGTTGTAGTATCCAAAACATTTGTTCACAAAATTTTCGATTCGCACGAAACAATTAACGGAATGATGCATACTTATCCCAACGGTACAATTTTCTTCTATGCTCCAACAGTTACATTTAATAATAACAATTATTTTGGCTCAATTTATGTTAAAGGTGTAGGATCCATGGCTTCCGCTGATGATAAAATTTCAATCTTTGCCAGTTTAACATGTCAAGGCAAATCAATTCCAAAGACAATTTCTGATACTTTCTTGACAACTCCATCGGGAGAGGCAGAATTATATACATCGTGGTATCCGATCTACGATAATATCCTTGTCGAACTTAATATTAATGGAGCTCCAAAGGATATTAAACCTTATTTATTTGTTGTCAAATCAACAGAAGAATCCGCCCATATAATGAATAGCATTAATGGAATAATTCGATATACCATATTAGGATTCCTTTGCTTCTATATTTTTGTATGGATTTTTTATTCAAACAAAGAATTCGACTTTTTGAAAGTTCTCTCCGTTATCATATTAACCGTTACATATATTGCAAATTTGCATTACAATCATACAGGAGAAGAAGACGAATTATCTATAATAAAACATGCGATCTTTTTAATGGTCCGAGGAGTTCATGGAGCTATAAACCTAGTATCTATCTTTTGTATATCGATGTACTTCTTCAGCCGCGAAGGACTTGGCACAGCTCTATTAATCGCTGCACTTTATGTTTTGACAGAAGCCATGACGGCCATTACAACAGATTCATTTATTGTATCATATTTCTTCGATAATAATGGCATTGTTTGGGTTTTCTTCTTTTCGACTTCAATTATTTCAAAAGTTTCCTTCTTTATTTTGGCTTGTCACCATTTAATAATGATTGCTGTTCAGACAACAATTAAGAGGAAACGATTATACATGTATTTCTACAGTATTTTGTTATTATTACTTATTATCCCTCAATTAGCAAGAGCTTCACTCATTATATACGAAGGATATCAAAGTAGTTTAATGAACTTCATCTGTGAATACGTCGCACAATATATATTCGTGCTTTTCTTCTGTTTAGTTTCTTGGCCATCTTACGAGAAGCCATTCAAGTCCGAAATATCTTCAGAACTAACAGACCTTGATCACGAAAGATTTATGCTGGAACATGACGTGTCTGTTCAATTTGAACATCCTGGAGAATAATGATTTTATTTTATTCTTACGTTGTTTGCTATAAATAATTATATATATTATTAAACATTTGTTTCTTTTTCACTCATTATTAAATTTTAATAATATTCAAACATTTATTATTTACAAATAGGACTGTATGGTGCTTTTTCATTCAAATATCATGAAAGCGCATATAAGAAGAAAGTAAATTACTGCAATAAGATTAATTCCTGAAAATATAATGAACTGACGTTTTCTATACGTGCATTCCCTTACAATTGTAAGTGGTTCGAAAAATTTAGTGGTGTTTACTTTAAAGGCAAAATAAAATGTCATTCCTAAATAAACAAAGAAAACCGGAAACGTAGATTTGAAAAATATGCAGGCAACCGTTGCAACAGTAGTTGTGAGATATTTTGTTGGCCAGAGAATAGAATTCAAACTAGAGCAGACATCTAGTGGACTTACGCGGTTTGATGCGAAATCACCAAGGTCCATGATGATCATAATGAATATTACTGATAAAGCCATCAATGCCATTATTCCAATAACGAGGAGAAACCACATTTTTTATTGTAACCACGACACTTTTCGCAAAATTTTATTTGGGATTTCCTCCTTTGATGAATATCTGCATTTAAAAAGAAACTATATGGTGGCTGATTCTGGTTGGAAAGGGTTTTCTGGAGGTATTCAACTAAAAACATAAAAACCAAATTCCTTGGGGTACATTTCCCAGCAGTTTCTCACCAGAACTGGCCACTATAGAAACTATTTTGTCATAAATCTTTCTTATGAAGAATATATATTATTAATTCTTACATTTTTAGACTGAATTTCTTTGCGATTGCCCAATCTAAATATATGCTATGCGATTTATCATATTTCAGAGCGACGATTTACAACTATTGATAAAGGATGATTTTAATATCGATAATGCCATTTGAAAAAGTCTAACATGCTTAACAACAAGAAGTTTTTCCATCCTCAGTTATCAAAAATCCCCAAATAGGAGGAGATGCTGGTAAAAAGTTGGTAAATTTAAAATAATTTTTTTCAGTTATTTTTAATGTCTGATAAAGACATTCACACAAATAAATTCATTGAATTGCAAAACATCTTTAAATACCACATCAATTCGTATACTGCGTTGTATCAGCTAAAAACGGAAAATGAAGAAGGATTAAACTCGATTTACAAAATGATCAAAACAGAATTGATTGATTTAAAGAAATATCTTCCACAAAATATTATAAAAGATATTTTAGATATCATTCCGTATAATAACCGCTATACAAAGTCTTATCTAAAGCTTGCCAAATATATATTTGATGATTATCATGTCAAAGAGGTCAAAAATGTTGAGTTTCTTTTAAGCTTCCTGTTTTATAAAGAATATGGAATTAAATTATATGCCTGCAATTTCGAAAAAATTAAACCAGAAAATCTCGATATTCATACAGAAAATACAATTTGCAGAGCAATTATGAATAATGACTTAGAAAGATTCATATATTTCACAGAAAGAGGTGAATTTAATAAAGATCAAATACTTGAAAGTAGTTTATATCCATATTCTTACAGAGGATATTCATTACTTGAATTATGTTGTTACCATGGAGCAGTTGATTGTTTCAAGTTATTAAGATCAAAATTCAGCTCAGAAATAACTGAAACATGTCTAGAATTTTCATTTTTAGGGGGAAATCCAGAGATCATGAGTGAATGTTTGAAATATCAGAAACCAAATGAAAAATGCATGCCATATGCAATTATTTCACACAACATTGATTTTGTTACATTCTTGATGAATGAATACAATATAAAGATCGATGTATATGATTGCGGAAAATACAAAAATCTTGAATCATTTTTAGTTTATTTCGATCAAACTAATGATGTTAAGAAATGCTTTGTTTATTCATCATGGTTCAATATTCCATTACTTTGTGAATATTTCCTTCAAATGCAGCAAATATCAATGAAAAAGATAATGCAGCAAATTATAATAGTATGAGAACAGCCGAATTTCTTATTTCAAATTGTTGCCAGTATCAATGAAAAAGATAATGATGGAAAAAACGCTCTTTATTTTGCAGCACATGAAAATAGTAAAGAAACAGCTGAAGTTCTTCTTTCACATGGTGCTAATTTCAATGAAAAAGATAAAAATAGAAAAATCGCTCTTCGTTTTGCAGAAAAGAAAAAAGAGGTAGTGTATTGCTCATAACTTCATTTGTAGTAAAGAAATATATATATATATTAGTAGGGCATATACTAAAGTTTTTATTTCTATGATATTGAAGCCTTGGATACTTCCAGAAAACTGCTTTGCAATTTTGGAACTTGCGGGGGCTGATGCTCCAGGGATAATATCTGGACTAGATATTTGGAAGAAGAAACATCACAGCATCAATTTTTCAAATTTAAGATCTCAGCCGGTTCCATTTTTAAGGAAACAAATATTTTAAATTTCCAATAAAAAAAGCATAAAAATTATTAGCACACTGATAATTTGTTATCTTTCTCTCAGTGACTGCCGGTTTAATACATAAATTATTCATTTATTTACTCCAAGTTCGTTGCATTACATTGAAATGAATTTTTTTTATAAAAAGTGACAAAACATTGAAATGGAATTAAACATCTCTCAATGTGTTAAATATTTCAGTGCTCTTCTTAAAGGCCTTCCTCCATCATTTGAACAGCAAGAGATCATTCTAACCAACTTAGTTTACTTCTCAGTGAACTCCCTCGCGTTACTTGGTGCGCTTGACTCACTGGACAAAGAAACTAAGGATCAAATCATAGAATGGATCTACAAACAGCAAGTCCATGCTCCCCTCTCTGGTGGATTTAGGCCATCTTGTATTCATGAAACTCCAGATCATAAAGTTGAAGAATCTCATATTACAATGACATATTGCGCACTTGCAGTATTAATTCTTCTCGGAGACAACCTCGAACGTGTTGAAAAGGATCGAATTTTTGCAGAACTGAAGTCTTTGCAGTTACCAAACGGAACATTCATGGGACATCATCTCGGCTCTGAAGCAGATTTAAGATTTACATTCTGTGCAGCAGCAATATGCGCTCTTCTTGGTTCTAATGGCGATTTAAACATCGATTCTGCAATTAATTACATATTAGACTGCCAGACATACGAAGGTGGCTTTGCCCATGAGCCTGGACAAGAAGCCCACGGCGGAGCTACGTATTGCGCTATTTCATCCCTCAAAATTTGGGGAGCTATCGATCGAATCAAAGATAAACAAGCGTTAGCATACTGGCTATCACAAAGACAAGATGATGGATTCAATGGACGTACTAACAAGCTTACCGATACATGTTATTCCTTCTGGATCGGCGCTCCTTTGAAAACTTTAGGTTGGTTTGACGATTTCGTCAACAAAGAGAGGCTGACGACATTTATCTTCAGTAACTACTGCGGACATGGCATGTTCCGCTCGAATTCGACTGCAGCGCCAGATCTCCTTCATACCCACTTTTCTTTGGTTGGTCTTTCATTGTGCGGCTTCCCAGGACTTGAACAAATTGATTCTGTACTTGGTTTGGTCTCAAAACACCTTCCAGAGAGAATTAGAAAAATTACACAATCAAATTGATTTTTATCAGCTTCTATCTGATTTTTTGTATTTAAATGATATAATAAAATGTTTTTCCAAACATATTAATTTAAATTCTCATTATTTTTCTTGATTTATTTTTTATAACATGAAATTTCTCAATTCACATATGAAGACTATTAACCAAAGAACAAAAACCAGCTCAATCCTAACACACTTGTTAAATTCAAAAAAATATTAAATAAAATTCACCATGACAACTTTCATTGTTAAAGAAAATGTTCGTTATTTATATGTGAATCAGAATCATCATATTCGGTCTTAAAATTCTGAATGTATTTGAAATTTAGTTTGAACTCAGAATTCATAGTATAATAATAAATGTTGAGAAAAGACCTTTCACAAAATATGAAAAAGAAACTTTACAAAGGAAAATAAGTTTAATATTTCGAATATTATTATGGGACAAAATAGTAAATCAAAAGTGTAGCACTATTATCACAATTGTGAAGAAATAAACTAACACTAAATTGTATTTATTTAGTTTTTTTCTTGGATCGCACCATGAGAAATAAGGGATTTGACTGTTGTATGATGCTTATGTTCTGAAGCATAATAAAGTGCACTATGACCTTCATGATCTTTTGCATTGATATCGATTCCATGAGATATAAGAATATCGGCCAATATTCTTTTGCCATTTGATGCTGCAAAGTGAAGAGCAGTCCAGCCATTTTTATCTTTTGCATTGATATCAGCACCTTGGGCGATAACGCATTCCATTATTTCTTTGTTATGTACGATGACAGAATAGTGAAGAGGTGTGCGACCGTCATTATCTTTTATATCGAGATTGGCTCCTTTGGATTTAAGAAGAGCAACGTTTACTTTACTAAAGGTTTCAACAGCAAAATGGAGAGCTGATCTTCCTTTATTATCTTGTGAATTAATATCGGCACCTTCTGAAATAAGGAAATTTATTATTGCTTTAAGATTCTTTTGGATTGCAAAATGAAAAGGAGTTTGTCCAGATGAATCCTTTGAATTGATATTGGCACCGTGTGAAATAAGAGTTTTAACAGAGGATTTACGTTCACTTCTAACTGCAAAATGGAGAGGAGTTTTCCCTGATTCATCTGCGATATTGACATCGGCGCCTTTCGAAATAAGATATTCAATATTGTCCTGAAAATCAGTCTGCGAGAGTAAATGAAGAGCAGTGGTACCGTTTTTGGATTTTGCATTAACATCGGCACCATGTGAAATAAGAAGTTCTGCGATTTCAAAAAAGTTACGTTCGATTGCTATATGCAATGGTGTGGATCCTTCCCACATTTTTTCATTGACATTTGCGCCATGAGAAATGAGGAGTTCTGTTATTTCTTTGCTGCCAGAATAGACAGATGAATGAAGGGCAGTATATCCATTTTTCTTTTTTATGTTGACATCTGCACCATGAGAAATAAGAAATTTTACACTTTCTAACCTTTTGTGATATGCTGCACTATTCAGAGCTGTTGATCCTCTTTCATCTTGTGAATTGATGTCTACACCACAAGAAAGGAGGAACTCAACTACATCTAAGCTAGAGAATACTGCTGCAACATTAAAGAGTGTTTCTCCATCGGAAAATTTCAAACTAACATCTGCACCGTGATCAACAAGAATCTCTACAATTTCTATAAGGTTTTTTTGTGCTGCAATATAAAGAGGTGTAATTGAATTGTAACTTGCTTTTGCATCGATAATGGCACCATGTGAAATAAGAAATTTAATTGCTTCTTTTTATTATATTTTGTAGCATAATGAAGAGGTGTTTCATGACTAAAATCTTTCACATTGATATCTGCATGATTTTTTATTAGAACTTCGAGTGTCTGTAAATAACCCCTCTTTGCTGCAATATGAAGAGCTGTTCTTTGCATAACTCCGTAGCCTTTATTAATATCCGCGCCATGTTTTAAAAGAATTGGTATCATTTCATTACGCTGAAGTTTGGCTGCAAAATGAAGAGGATGCTTATGGTCACTAAAATTATCAACTTTTGCGCCATGGTTGAAAAGAAGCTCTACCAAATTTTTGTTATTATTTTTAACTGCATAATGAAGAGCTGAACGATGATCTTTATCCTTTGAATTGATTTTCATTGTTGAATTGTCCAGCAAATATTTGCGAATATCAAAATTATTCCAATAAGATGCGCAAATCAAAACATTTTTTCCATCTGGAGCTCTTCTAGTTAAATCTAGACTCTTATCTTGGAGAAAATCTAAAGCCTGTGGAAATGAAACAATGCATGGAATGATTGAATTTTTATCATTTTCGTACAGAAGCAAAAGAGCTTTCAAGTTTTGATGACGACTTAAAACTGTGGTATCGATATTTTTAATATCAATAAGATCCCTTTTAAAAAGATATTCGAGAAATTCGTAGTTATGAGATGCGATTGTACTTTCTAATGCATATTTGTTCATTTTAATGTTTTTCATGCATTCATTGATGATGTCTGTATTTCTACCAAAAATTGAGTATAAAAGGCATTTTGGTGTCATTGCGACATTTAAATTCGTAAGGAGGAAAAAGAAAATGTTAACAGATCCGAAATAACAGCATGCTTCAATAGGTGAGTGCATCTGATAGACACTAATATTCGCTGAAAATGATTCTATTGATTCATGACTAACATATTCTTTGAATTTGTCAATTTGGTCGTTCATGATTATGTATAATATTTCTCCTTCTTTCGGAAATGATTTTCGATCAAAATCGACTTGTAAACCTCCATTTGGATTGTTTGAGTAAGTCATTTTTACACTATTGGCAAGTTCTATTACATAAGAATTCGGCAACCTATATTTAGATAAAAATTGGTTTAAAATTTTAATATAAAGCTCGATAAATTGATAATTACACCGAGCTGCCATGAATAAATTATAAACTACTGTTATAATTACCGCTTTATACTTTTTGATTAAAACAGATGAAATCAAATTCAAAATCTCTTCGACAGAATCATTTGAATTCAAGTGGAAGAGTTTCTCATAAGTCTCAATGAAATCATCATATTTATTAAGAAGCTGGTCACTCATAAAAATTAAAAAAAAATGTCTTGTTGTTATATTATCGACGTGTGGTGCCGATGGAATAAAGTTAAGAATTTTCTTTAACGATGTGTAAACTCAATGTCACACCCAAAACCAAAGTCTATGAGTTTGCCAAAATATGATCTGAAAGGAATACTTCATAAAGTAGATTTTCAAAAAGGACTATGAAGATTAAATGTCGTTTGCATAATTGTTGGGCTTCTTGAGTATGTTTCACAAATTGTCGGCTATAATAAAATGAAAAGGCTTAAATTTTGGAGATATTATTATCATATAATTTATATTATTATAATCATAAGATCTGGCATTGTATGTATAACACCACATGTCAACATTAACATTAGTCAATATCAAAATAGAAAAACAATATTTTAAAATATGTTTTTATGTTTGTAATCCCTCTCCTGAACTTATGTTATGTATAGTTCAGTTATACTAAGGTTGCCTAAGTCTCTTGGTATGAATAGTGAACTTGAGAATATTAGATTGATTCATATTAGCAATCTTAATTTATTCAATAAATTTGAATAAAAACTGTTTAATTGTTTTTAACTAATTGTAATCTTATATTTATGTTTAAAGTATATATATACTTTCAATAGATGAAAGTCAATTCGGCTGTTTTAATTGTTATACTACACCTCAATCACATGCCCACCCTGTCCAAAAATATATATAACCAAAAGTGAGCTTAAGACCATATTTTTCCGTATAAGTAAAATGTTTATTTTAATTAATTAAATGAAGAACAAACAATATTCATATGAAGAAATGTTTGGACTATCCGATTATATTACTTGGCTCCAATAGATATTAGAAAGTCTCTTACCTTATTCTTAGAAAATGAAAGCGCAGTTGTTCCATATTTAGTCTTTGCATCTTTATCAGCTCCAGCAGAGATAAGATATTTAACAACTTCAAGACATTCATTATATGATGCATGAATTAGTGGAGTCCATCCATATCTAGTCTTTGCATCTATATCAGCTCCAACAGAGATAAGATATTTAACAATTTCAAGATGACCATTAGCTGATGCCCAAATGAGTGGTGTTTCTCCAAATTTAGACTTTGATTCTTTATCACAACCACCTTTAATAAGTAATTTGACAAGATTAAGATTTCCATTTTCACTTGCAATATGAAGTACATTCTTTTCATACCCCGATGAGTTTTTTAACCAAAGTCCTTCTTCACAAGCTTTTGAAGTCATTTCGCCACTGTTTTTAGAAGAAAGATCTTCAAAGAATTTATAAACTTTATCAAAATCATCAGATTTCTTAAGTGATGAGATTTTGTTTAAAAATTCTTTAGGATAGTTGCGTGATTCATTAGTTCGAGTGGCTGTTGTTTCATTGGCAGAATTTTGTATTTGATTTTGTAAAGTTTGTGTTTCTGTTTGAGGCTTTTTGGTTTCTTCTGTAGAATCAAGCAAATGCTTTTGGTTTTCGTTGATAAAATCAATGATTCCATCAAATGTATTGAATTTCATGTACTTTTTGATAGATTTCAGAATTGAAATGACTTCTTCGAAATTTTGGATAGTAACACTTGCTTTTCGAGTACTGATATATAATTCTTTGGCAGTGAGAGTTGGTGAAGACTGCTTCAGAAGAGTAATGTACTCATCAAAGGTAAAACATGAATATTTCATGATTGTTTTGATATCGCTGATATCGAATGTATCAAAAAAGTTTTCGTTTTGAATATAATCACTGATATGAGCAGCAATATATTCGAAATTCAGATCCAAGGATTGATCCATTTTAGAAAAACCGTTACTTTACAAAAAATCCGAAAACTAACCTTAAACATATGAAGACCATGTCAATTCAAATAATTATATAATTTGTTTACTATAACACATTGTATATGCTTTTCCGGAACTGAAAATTGACTTTTATGAACCAGACTTCAGTTCCAATCTTGCCAAGTATCACATTGATCTAACATCTTAATGCAGTCTGTTCATTTCCCAACGAAATAAGTGTTTTACTTTCAAATTTTATTTCGAAAACAGATCTATTACGACTTTGTTAGACTATTCATATGCAAACTGCGTAAAATTCTTTCTCAAATTGGGGAATATTGTTTTGCCAGCATACCCTTAAAATCATTACATTTACCAGAAACTAAGCGAAAATTATCCAAGGAAGCATTTTAGAAATTTCATATTGTTTAATTTCCAAAATATAACATCAATATTTCTACCTCCTAACATCAGAAATTTCATGTTTTGAAGGAAATAAATTTTTAAAATTAATATATATATCATATTGCAACGTTATTATCATTAATTAATCAGCTTTTAGAGATTGTTCATCATTATCCTCCATATCTTTTTCAATAATAGTTAGTATGGTTATGTTGGGTACGGCGGCACTGCGTTCCACCTTACCCAACATAACCTTAAATATTTACAAAACCGCCACCCACTTCACTTCACTAACGAACTCACTAATGTAAAAAATAAACGTTCTCACTATCGTTCTCACTAACGACTTCACTAATGTTCTCATAAATTTTCCTCAATATCTTCATCATCAGTGTTAACCCTATTGTAGTCATACTTGAAGCCATAAACTTTCTCTAACTTCTTAACGTACAATTTACATAACTTACCTTCGTCATCATATGGTTTAATGATATAACTATTTCTATCTTTATACACAGTCAATGAAAAGTCAACTGGTCTCGGATGTATTTGAAAGAACATGTTTGCTCAGGAAGGAAGAATAAATGTTTAAATGTATGTTTGTTATATGTTTTGATTTGTATGAGTTGCTTTTGTTCTGTCATTTACATCCAAATAAAATTTTCAGTAAAATAAAAAATAAACTTAAAAATTAAATGATATCACACCCTCACGTATGAAAACATAGCACAAAAATAAATTTAGGTGAAGTGGTGAGATCTCACTCTTTTTCAATCATTTTACCCTGTTGAATTCATTGCTTTATAACTCTCTTCCTTGGTTTTTTTAGTTGCTTTCTTCACGTCTGTCCTCCAACTTGACTGTCTTTCTTCTTCGGCCGTAATGATACCAGTTACTTCCAGTCAATGGGTCAAATGGTCTTTGTAAGGGTTTCCATACATTCCATAGGACCGCTGGTGGAAGATTGTGGAGAAGAACATTTTCTTTAGTTCCATCGACTCTATTTAAATGCATTGTTTCACCTTTCATCTGGTCATTAAAGTCTTTTGCGTGTTTTGCAAACTCATCGTCCTTTCCTAAAGCATTTTCTGACTCAGTCGCAACCAAATTGGATGCTTTATTTATGAGCCCATTTTATTTAATCTTAACTTCTTTGCAACCCAGCTCCAATCTTCCTTTATTTGCATCTAATGTCTTCGAAACCCTTCCTCCACTCATTTTATTTACTGCGTCATAAGCTCCAAGTGCTTTTGCTCCAAATGCTAATGCTTTTGTTCCCATTGCGCCTAAAGCTGCCCAAGCTACCATTTACCCATATTAAAATCATCTCTCTTCAATATTATTCATAAAAGTTCTCGTTACTGGAGAAGTCATGAAACATAAACATTCTCACGGCTTCGCCCTCACCGCTTTGCGGTCTATCTAACTTCTTTTCTTATATCATCTATAGCTTCAAAATGTCTGAACAATTGCTAACATCTTCTACAACAGTTATTTCATCATGAACGACTTTCAAGAACAAGCTCATTTAATATGCTATTAAAATCATCTCAATAATGAGTCCATCCTTTCATCTTTAGGTAGCACAACATTTCATTGAAGAAGGTTCGACAAGTCTTATGTTAAACTTACTGACAAAGTTTGTTATACTATAATGCTTCGGCGGCGAATACATATAGTTTGAAAGACATAATATAGATTCTTCAGCAAATTCACTTATACTGGATTTTTATAACAATGTTCTCACGAGACCAAATGCCACCAATTGACAATCTTGTAAGCAATCCTGCTGAACCTTCAACTGTAAACGTCGATGGTAACATTCCACGAAGGTCATCTATTGACATCGTTGAGTCACTGTATTTAAATATTTTCTTAAAGCAATCGTCATTATCTAACCATGCAATAGCTTTGAAGTTTTCATTCGAATATACATCTGCTTCATTAAATGTAAAACCTGACTTCTTTGCAGAGACGACTTTAAAATCTATTGAGTTTGTTTCAAAATTATATGCTATGGTAACTTCTGAAGGTAATGGATGTCCTTCCGCAGTAAGTTGTTCTCTCACTACCGTTTGAAGCTTTGTTTAAAAACTTTCATGTCATCTCTGTATCTAAGTTCACATACACAGCAACAGGAAAACTATCTTGCTTCTTTGTTTCATCATTATATCTCAAAACATTAAAGTTCTTCAATAATATTGTTCTTCCTGCTGGAATACTTCGAACTGTCTGATTTCAATAGCTTTCTCACCTCCTACATACTCTACCCAGTGTCTTGGATATTCATAAGTATACTGACTTTCTTGAATTTTGGTTGGTTTCATCATAACGTGTTCATAGTATATCTTTATACTCTTGTCAGTTAGACTCGGTGCTATGTTCTGAATATTTCTGACTTGCATTTTTAATGGAGATAAAATGAAGCATTTAATACATGAGTAGATGAAGACATGAATGAAACTACAGACAAACTTAACTCTTCTCTTATTCTTCCTTTCAGCAAAGATTATGAATTCTGTTCAAATGGTGTGTATTTCTATTGTGGAAAGATGGGTTCAGGTAAGACATTTAACCTCATTCGTCATATACTCATAACAGACGTTTAGGAAACGACTCTACTATGACCAAATCATTATATCAGCAACTTCAGACTCTATGGATCAACAGCGAAAACATTCATGTCAAAGTTCAAGCATCTGTCGTTAAAGTTCCAGACAGTGAACTCATTGAATTTCTTCAACGTTACATTCGACGTAAGAGAAATATTATGCCATCGTTGAATTTATACAGTCAGGAATGCAAAAGACTTCTGAGAAGATGGAAAGAATTATTGACAAACACCACTTACGTCAGTACTCAGGAGTTTACGATATGAAACGACTTACAAACTACATTCTGTCAAAACTTTCAAAATACCCCTTCAAAAAATATCCTTCAAACACTTTGTTAGTTTGCGACGACTTCGCCGGAAAAGGTTTAGTGTCAAAACCAGACTCACCATTAGCTAACATCATAACTAAAGTCAGACATTACCATTTAACTGTAGCAATACTTATGCAAACATGGAGGTTTTTAGCTTTAAACATAAAACGTCTCATAACTGACTTCGTTATCTTTCAAGGTTTCTCACGCTATGATATTGAACTCATTTGGAAACAGTCAGGTATAACATTACCTTTTGAAGAAATTTGGGAAGCATATAAGTCTCTCATCTCTCCTCGTTCATACCTTGAGATTCATATCATGACTAATACCATTAAAGTCAAAAATATTCCATGGGAACGACCAACATTGTTTTAAAGTTTAACCTTCAATTGACTGATGGTAAACAAATTCCATGCATCTCTGTCGCCATTTCTGTTAATATTTTTGCTGTCATTCATATCATCCACTTCCCCATCCGTTAGCTTTTGAGGATATGCGTTAGAATAGCTGTTCTTAAATGAAGGCTTTTCACCTTTGAGAGCATAAACTCTATAACTTTCTGCATACTTTATGTTTGAACCTCCTGAGCCATCATTGACATAAATTTTTATAGGCTTCCACCCTTTGTTCATGTTCCTGCTTCTTCCCTTAGCTCTTTTGTTCAGTAGTTCTACATCTTTATACACAGCACCTGTCTCAGTGAATTCAACAATATTTTCATTCGTTAGCTTTACATTCAAACCCTTGTCGAGTATATTGTTCATTTCATACATATAAAAGGTTTTTATTCTATATGAAATGAGAAGCAAATCCATCTTAGCTGGTGCCGTTAATGTTCCAATTGAACCAACATCAAATGTTGACTCACGAACGACAAACAATATTGTCATAAAGAACTATAGTTCAGAGTGTTTGAAAGAAAAAGAACCAGAACTTAAGTCGGTGAATTTAAACACAGCTTCAAACGCTAACGCTACATCAGATGTTAAGTTAGAGTATCCACCACTGGACCAAATTCTTTCAAGAGAAGCCAACGACAACCCTTACACAAATGTTCAAACAAATCCTTCAGATAACGTAGACCATTACCTTCTTCAGTTATACCAAACAATTTTACTCAAAGACGATAAGAAGCTTTTGGTAAATCTTATAAGCAAGAACCAAATAATTCTAACAAGGGAGGATTGAAAATGTTATATCACGAATAACAGGGAAACAATGTGTCATTGACTATCTCGACCCTGAAATCGAATGCTGTGGTCAAACTCCACTATTCATGAAAATAGGTAACATCCGCATCATTGAAACACCAGGAACTACAGGAGTTGAGTTTAAGTATAAATATTCGAACGAGTATACAAAACTATCTACTGACTATAAGCTTTGTTTGAAATATGTTTTAGTAAATTAAAGCAGTCAGGACCTCGGTCTTGGCGCTTTGCGCCGTCAGTCAAAAAATTTCAAGTTAGCAATTTGTAATATCTATCCAAAACTTCTTCAACAGTATCGAACTCATCTTCATAATGCAAACCTAATCTTATTGACTTGGTGCAGTTTTCACTAACACAATATTTTTCTGTTCTCTTGACTGACATAACTAACTCATTTGTTTCATCAAACAGCAACAACCAAAGTTCATGACCTAATACATAACATTCATACTTTATATTTTTAGCTCTGAGTTCTCTTGTAAGCTGTTGCATTTAATATTTTCTAAAAAGTCAACTTCAACAGTCATTCGCACTGGTGCCTTCAGTTCTACAGGCTCTCCTTGAAAGTCAACAAGTCTGAATTGCATGTCTTTCAAATTATGAGGACTAATGCGAACCCATTTACCTAAATGAGTTGCTATGACAGGAACGTTTGGAATGAACATTGAATTGACTGCATAACAGAAAGATTTATATTCTACTGAACCTTTACTATTAACTCCTGAAATGCCTGTGACATTAGCTATTTTAGACTCAATGTATAAACAATTACCATAACATACGTATGGAACAGATTTCATCTCAATCGTTTTGTCAACACTTTTCAAAGGTGTCATATGGTATGCTCCCAAAAGAAGTTGAACTCTATGACTCATTCGTGTTATCTTGAACTCTTTCTTGCTACTGAACTTCAATGTTCCCTCAGAAGAGAGTTCGACATCTATGTTGTCAATAGTTTCTTCATTTATGAGAGTATCTATGACTCCAGCAATTTTATCTATTCTATACTCTGCTCTGTTAGGAAATGTTATAAAACTTCTTTTGTCATCTATTTCAATCTCTATGAAATCTGTTTCATCTGTTATGACAAAAGTTGCGATAGTATTGAAGTCAACAACTCTGAAAGCAAGTGCTTCATTCTGAAGACCTAAGTTTGTTTGTAGCTTTACTGTCCATATTCGTTTGGGTCTGTACTTTGCAAATAGAACAACATTTTATTCTCATTAAAATATGACTATTGCTGCATATGCGTATGAAACAAATGAAGCAAGAAGAGCACATGAACTAGTAAACGAAAACTCAACTTTAACCATTGAAGGCAATGATTTAGTCATTGACGATGGAAAAACTAAAAAAGTCATTGATTTCGATACTTTTAACACTTATGACCCATTCATTACAATAAGTTTTCCTATCATAAATGATGGAACGGTGCAATATATAAATTCTACAGTAGATGCCTCATTAGTGAAAGTACTTAATGTTCTCATTGAATTGTTAAAGAGCTTTCGATTTGACGACAACATTAAATGCCTAAAGAATTTAGTCATGAATGAGAAACAAATTCTCGGCGTTGCTGGTAGCAGTAATGATGTACACCTTATGACATTAGAATATTATAACGAACATAAAGATGAACTGAAAGGAGAGAAGGGTGACACCGGACCACAAGGACCACAAGGAATACAAGGAATACAAGGACCTCAAGGCGAAAACGGTTTGGATGGAAAGGATGGAAAGGATGGAAAAACTGCTAAATCATGGATATGGGACCTTATAAATACTGGTTTAACAGCTGCTTCATATGGAGTTCTTCAATACCAAATCGGAAAGATATGGGCAGTACTTGGTGAAGAAGCTTTAGATGACGTTAAAAATGCTTTGAACTTCATTTCAAATGGTTCGGATACTATTAAAACTTTATCTGGTTGGATGCAAGAAACAAGGAGTCAAATAGATACTGTAAGACGTATAGCAAACAATGCACGTACGGGATTGGATACTTTACGAGAAGCACAAAATACACTAAAGGAAGCAAATGATATTCTTGGCTCAGTATCAGACATGCATGAAGATTGGCTTAAAGGTATTGACAAATCTTTAAAAAATCACAGTCAGTCTATTGCTGACTACAAGAAAAGTATAGATTTTTTACATAGTGCTATGGACGTACATGATGGAAGCATAAGGAACTTACTTAATGCTAACAATAACTTACCAGGAACTATTAAAGCATTTATAAAGTCCTTTGTAAAACCCGGTGCTCTAACATTTAGGTCTTTGAGAGCAAGAGCATTGAAGTCAAGAGATGCAGAAACTCCAGAAGAACCACCAAAACCAACAGCTAATGAAATATTGTTCGAATATTTTCCAAGGTACTCTGTTCTCATTGCATACATTCAAGAAATACTTAAGAAAGCAGACTTGACTTTAGGAGATGATGAAAGTTCTGTATATCTTTCGTTCCAGTTTCAAATAGCAGAACTTTTGAGACAGATATGCTTAATGTATGACAACATCTCTGATTTCACAAGATATGATGACGACCATGACCCCGAACACGGTGAAGAAGAAGTTTTACAAACATCCATTAAGACAGGAAAGGTTTTAACTCAAAGTCTCATTATTGACACCAAAGATGGCGAAGTGGACGTTCTTCAAGAGCTGAAGAAAAATACTTCTTCGGGAGGTGGTGGTAGGCATGAACTTGAAATAAATGAGATAGAAGAGAAATTAGCCGAAAAAGCAGATAAAAACCATGTTCATTATATAACTTCAGATGAACAGATTATAACGGACTACCATGGATATTTAACACAGGATGAAAAAGTGAAGACGGAAGATGTTAATGAAAGAAGATATAAATACATTCGTGCTAAAGGTTATGACATAAGCTGTACTGTACATTATGACACAGGTAAAGCGCTAGAAGCATTTAGTTATAACGATGAAATTTATGCCTCTACTTTCAATGTTAACGGTGTATTAGTTGAACCAAGATTTACTTTGAGAGTTAAGGCAAAAATAACTTTTGAAGATGCTATTAAAAGTAGAGCCGACAAAGATGAACTTGACGCAACGAACAAAGTTTTGAAATCTCATAAACACAATATCTCCGATATAAATGAACTTCAAGCTACATTAAATAGTAAAGCCGACAAAAATCATACACATAAATCCTTCACTACTGTTAGAGCAGACGACATAATATTGAACTATGATTTGGGTTCAAGTGCACCTTTAGAGAATCCGAGTACAAGCGTAAAAGATACTCTTAACAATTTAGATAAGAGTTGCAGGAATATCGAAGATCATGCCAGAAACTTTGAAGCATATGAACTACCATCAATGTTAGACAGTAAAGCCGACAAAAATCATACACATAAATCCTTCACTACTGTTAGAGCAGACGACATAATATTGAACTATGATTTGGGTTCAAGTGCACCTTTAGAGAATCCGAGTACAAGCGTAAAAGATACTCTTAACAATTTAGATAAGAGTTGCAGGAATATCGAAGATCATGCCAGAAACTTTGAAGCATATGAACTACCCGCAATGTTAGACAAGAAAGCAGACAAAACTTATGTGGATGCAGAACTAACAAAGAAATTTTCGAAACCAGATACAATGACATTTACAACAGAAATTATAAATGGTGAACCAGCAACTCCATTTGAATTTGTTAGAGGTCTTCAACCAGATACTTTTGAATTTTTCTTGGATAATTCTATTGAACTAACATTACATTATAAAAGTGGAACAAATGCAACATTTCATCCGGGAGATACATTCCAAATGGTATTTAATGACATAAGTTCTTTAGAATATGTTTATAGAGTTATGAGCATATATGATTTAATATATCCTATAGGAGCTGTTTATACGTCTATGAATCCAATAAATCCAAACACTTTATTTGGTGGTAGATGGTATGAAATAGTTGACAGTTTTCCATTCTACACTAATACGCAGTCAATGAAGATGGGAGGTTCAAAGAAAATAGGTATTGAAAACCTTCCTTCACATATGCATAGGTTCAGTGGAAGAACATCTGTGGAAGGAAACCATTCACATTCAATAACAAAAAGAGGTTATATAAATCTTGCAGCGGGTTCGATAGACAGGGAATGAACAGATATGATATCTCAGATGACCCCAAAGATGTTAGCACAGGTATTTTCTGTGGAACTGCAGGAAATCATACACATGTTGTAGCTGGTATTACAGACCCAGCAGGTAATGGAAAAGATTATATGCCTCCTTATATAACAATGCACGCTTGGATACGAGTTGGTTAAAATCTTTAACTTTACATAAATGAGCTTGAAAGAAGTATTCGAACAACATCCATGGAGGTCATTTAAGAAGTTCAATGAAGCTGCAAAGAGTTGGGGATTTACTAACAGAGCTGAAGTGAAAAGGTTCTTTGACAAAAATGTTGTACATCAAACAAAAATAAACCCTTACGACTACTTTTTACCAATTTACTCCAACACTCCTGACGCATACCAATTTGACACTCTCATTCAAAGCAGAAAAGGAGGACATAAACCATTCTTCATCTTCATTAATGTTAACACTCGCAAAGCATATGCATATCCAATGAAAAATAAAGGAACTCGTGAAGTGTTAAGAGTTTTACAAAAGTTTGTAGCAGAACATAGCCCAAGTACTTTAACATCAGACCAAGACAGTGCATATCTCAGCAATGAAATCACAGATTTTCTCATTAAGCATAACATAACTCACTACACTACTGAAGACCATAACCATAACATACTCGGCATCATAAACCGCTTCATAAGAACGCTCAGAGATTTAAATCAAGAGCGAGACTTTACCGAAGAAACAATGAAACATTTTCTCGAAGTATATAATTCCTCAACACATTCTACAACAGGACATACACCAAATTCAATGACACAACAACAAGAAGAAAAGTATATACAAAAGAAACGAAGCCAAACACAAAATATCAGAAATTCAACACAATTTACCCTCATTCCTGGTACAAAAGTTCGTGTAGTTCTTGACGACAAACCGTTGACAAAGAAACGTTTAAGGTTAAGTCGAAATTATTATATCGTAGACTCTACGCAAGGTAATGGATATCTTATAAAAGCTGCCGACGACTCTATTGCGTTTTATCCTCGTCATAAATTAGTCGAAAGTAGTAATGGCAAACTTGCTGAAACCATTGACGAAGCAAAGCGAGGAGTGGTTATTGAAATACTTGACTACAATATAAACGATGACACTTATAAAGTAAGATATGAAGGAGGTGTTGAAGATGTTATACCATCTAAGAACTTGAGAGAGTCAAAGCCAACACATCTGGGACCATTAGAGCGGGAGTACTGGAAAGACAAAAATATGCCAGAAAGAATAAGAAAATTCTTCTAAACTTTTTCATTAGATGTAAATCAGACATGAATGAGAACAGTCATGTATTATTAATGGTACCATTTATTTTAACATAAAGACGCAAAAGCGGCGAGACGAAGTCCATGACCAAAAATAATGTTTAGGGTAGATGGTTAGATCTAACCTCATTTCTACCCTCATTTTTTGTATTTGACGGGATTAATTTCTTGATTTCAGGGATTTTTTGACGAAGTGCAAATCTTCACTTCGTCAAAAATAACAGTTATCTAACCTCATTTCTACCCTCATTTTTTGTATTTGACGGGATTAATTCTTGATTTCAGGGATTTTTTGACGAATGCAAATCTTCACTTCGTCAAAAATAACAGTTATCTAACCTCATTTCTACCCTCATTTTTTGTATTTGACGGATTAATTCTTGATTTCAGGGATTTTTTGACGAAGTGCAAATCTTCACTTCGTCAAAAAATAACAGTTATCTAACCTCATTTCTACCCTCATTTTTTGTATTTGACGGGATTAATTCTTGATTTCAGGGATTTTTTGACGAAGTGCAAATCTTCACTTCGTCAAAAAATAACAGTTATCTAACCTCATTTCTACCCTCATTTTTTGTATTTGACGGGATTAATTCTTGATTTCAGGATTTTTTGACGAAGTGCAAATCTTCACTTCGTCAAAAATAACAGTTATCTAACCTCATTTCTACCCTCATTTTTTTATTTGACGGGATTAATTCTTGATTTCAGGGATTTTTTGACGAAGTGCAAATCTTCACTTCGTCAAAAATAACAGTTATCTAATGAAAAATGAAAGTTATTTCTTATTTATCTCATGAAAGTTGTGTTGAAATAAGTCCTGGGAAGAGTATTATATAAGGCGTTTTGTGAAGAATATAGCAACCGTCGGAATACAGACGGTTGCTTTTTATACAAAATTCATGCAGGAATTCCTGATGAAATCAAACAGGTTAGAGGAACGTATGTAGACCCAAGACTTATAAACTATATAGCAATGTGGCTTCTCCAAAATATTGCATAGCAGTTGGAAAAATTATGGACTCCATAGACAAGAAAGTTCATGAGAAATTAGATGAAGAAGAACTCGAAGATACAGTAGAGAATGCTAAACCTTTTTCGAACAAGAAGTTAGAAAAATGCATGAAAAACAATTAGAACATGAACGTGAGATATGTTATGATTATAGAGATTCTCCATACGAACTAGACCAATGGGAACAAGAAGATTTAAGAGAGAATTTAGAGAATATGAACTCGCTAAGATAGCATTAGAAACTGCAGAAAAGAAGTTAAAAGTTTGGGGTCGTTTTGTACAAAAATATTGTGAGTAAATGAACCATTTATTTTTGCTGAATTCGTGAGATTCTGAGTAAAATGGCATATGGCATGTGTCAAACCGTTGAGTTTTCACAAAATTCCAAAAATAACGTTTACCATGTAAAATGGTTATAAATAATGAGGGTAGAATTCGTGGTAGAAATTTAGGTTAGATATACCCATCTACCCTAAAAATTATTTTTGCTGAATTCAGCACAAATTCTGAGTAAAATGACATATGGCACGTGTCAAACCGTTGAGTTTTCACACATTTAAAAATTGCTGCGGAAAGTTCGTCAAAAAAGTGAAGGTTCCCGATGGTTTTCAAACCGCCATACTTTACATGAAGATAGTTTACAATGTCAACTAAATATCATGTATGATAGAAACGGTTATGTAAAAGTTTACATTTTGTAAAGTTTTGTCCTGATTCAAGACAAGTCTTGTATTTTTTCAGAACAAGTCTTGTATTTTTTCAAGACAAATCTTGTCCTGATTCAGAACAAGACTTGCACTTTTTAGTCAGTCAGTTTTTCTTGTAAAGTTCTCAAATTGAGAACAATTGTCCTGATTCAAGACAAGTCTTGTATTTTTTCAGAACAAGTCTTGTATTTTTTCAAGACAACTTTTCCTGATTCAAGACAAGTCTTGTATTTTTTCAGAACAAGTCTTGTATTTTTTCAAGACAAATCTTGTCCTGATTCAAGACAAGTCTTGCACTTTTTCAGGAAATCCTATCGTCCAACTTTACAAATGTCACTTTTCAACATGATTGCATTTTGGTCGGGGGACAACTTTCTCTCATTTTGTCACTTTTCTATCGTCGTGTTTTGTCACTTTTCCCTCAGGGTGTGTGTCAGAAAATATCCAAAATCTTTATAGCCTCGTATCTCCTTCAATTCTTGACGGTTTGACATGTATGACACACCATTCAATTCAGAATTATGTGCTGAATCTTATGACCTTCATTTGTTCGTGACTTCTTTTCACATATGTAACCATGAATTTTTAACATTTCTTTAACACAGAAAAATAAAGTTAGTTTTTTTATAAAATATTTTTTTTATCCGGAATATAAAGACAGATATGTCAACAACAGAGAACACAACAACTGCTATCGTTCATGAAGCCATTAATGAAGAATATGAATACATACAGTATAACAAACAATTGAGACTCATTCGTTCAGTCAAAGATGACATGTACCAAATGCAAAGTATAATGAATGCTCTTCGTTCTACAAAGCAAGCATATCATTGGTTTGAAAACCAACAGACAAAAGAACTTTTAGAAGAATTTCCTCATATGATTGCTTCCCTCGGAAAACCGAGAGAAGAGATTCCGTACGAAAATCGCAAGAATTTGGCTCCTGGTTTGAAAGGTTATTATGTTCATAGACTTTTAGTAAACGCTGTAGCAATGTGGGCTTCACCTCGTTATGCTTGTTATATTTTCATGATGTTAGATGAACTATATAAAGCAGAACGTGGAGAGATGGAAAAGAAACTTCAAGCAAAAGATGAAGTCATTGAATCCAAAGACAAAAGCATACAGAAAAGAATACCGCGTTCAGTACCAAAAGGAAAGGAAAAGAGTTATAAGTATATGATATATACTGAAGAGTTGGAGAGAAGAAGACAGAGATATGGTTATGTTGCATTTAGTCAGAAGAAACAACAAAGCTTTTATGACCTTGCTAAGATTTACAAATCTGACAGAAACTGGTTCTATCGTGAAAACTTACCGATTTCAATGACACCGAATGAGCAAATAAAGGAAATTGTCAAAATACTCTTCCTCAAACACACTATGACATCAAAGGTTGCACAATACTTACATTCAAAGAAGACTTACATTACTGAAGGAAAAAATAACAGAATATTTCGATAACTTCAAAGAGGAAGAATAAAAAAATCTAAGCTAATTTTATTTTTTTTATAAAATTTTATCTCATATGAAAGAACATGAATTTAGAATATTCGGAACTCATGACAGAAGAAGAGAACGAACAACATGTAAAAGATTATGCAAAATTTCTGAAGGTATATAAAGCATTTAAACAATATCTAAATGCTTCTAAAGATTATGCAAAATTTCTGAAGGTATATAAAGCTTATGAAAAAGCGTATGAAAAGTTTATACATTGGGGAATTGTTGTAAAATATCGATATGAAGACTAACCAAAAATATATTTTTGCTTAAATAGCTTCAGGGTCAATTTCTTCAACCATTTCACTTCCTTCGTCAATGTCAATTGAAGCTTCTTCAACCTTTGGTAAGAATTTCTGTATAACATCTTTGTTCGTTATTGTCTTCAGAGATGAAGGATAATATTTCACATTTGTTTCACCTTTTTATATTCTTTCTGCTGCGATAAATCTAAACAATACTGAAGAAGTCAATATTAGAGTTCTTTATACAGTATAATGAGTATCTTTGACATTCACGAAGAAACTCTTTTGTTTCAAAACTACTGCTAACTCTTGTGAAGTATAACGTTTGCGGTCAATGACAATAGCTAATGGTCTGACATACTGACCAAACTTAGATTCTTTCACAAACTTCTTGTTAAAGATAACATTAACGTTTGAAGCACCATTGAACTCATTCTTGATGGCAGTAGCGAGAGCATTGTATGAAAAGAACTTGCAATCTTGCATGTGTTTCATTAAAATAAAAATATTAAATTATTTTGAAAAATAACTTAAAAAATAATCTAATTTTTTTAAAAAAATTTTTTTATTTCCTACTAAAGATGTATCGGAAGTTGTCTAAGTTAGAACACTCGGAAATAAAACAACTTCTTACAGAAGCTAACATAGAAGTAGCAAACATTACGCGACAAACAAAAAAGCACTCGCTGACATCTCAATGACTACAATGGTGAAATAAGTTATGATAGAATTCATGAGTTCATAAAGCCACAACGCGGCGAGGACGAAGTCCATGCAAGAACTTTTCCTTTAAATGACGTTGCTATTGACTTATATCATAGACGTTCAGTACCTCATGAAGTAAGAAGAGAAATGTTTGACATAACAAATGCAAACGTTGGTGAAACAAGAAGAAGAGACGACACACTGAAACAACAGAGAAGAGAGATGTTTAAAAGTGCTATAGAACAAGTTCGCAAAGCTAACGATGTCATTCGTTCCATTGACGACAAACCAAAAGAAGGTGAGAGATGGTTAAAGAAAGATGAAGAGAATAGGAAGAGAAATGTGAAGTCAGGCAATAGACTCATTGACTTTAACATCGAAGCTTTAGATGAACCAAACAGAGACTACTTACACAAACATTTCGGTAAGGTTTTCATGAGACTCTTAGAGAAAATTAAAATAAACTCACAACAGAGATGGATGGTATGTTATAAACTTGGTGGAAAGTATGAATGTTCTACGTTAAACCTCAATAATATTGGAACATTACTACATCAGCTCTTGAAGGAGAACTTTATATCAGAGATAGAAGCAAATGCTGCAGGTATTGTTGAAATGCACTATGACTTCTTCTTGACAAACATAAAGAATCTTACTGAAATAAAGATGTATGATTTAACAGAATATGAAGGCTTAACGATGTCAGATGTAAAGAAAGGCAAACCAAAAAAGAGACCATATAGAGATGAAAGCACACTGACAAATGACCAGAAAGCCATTTTGGAAGCTCTTAAGCAAACAGG